CGTACAGAAAATCCTAATTTTTCTAAAGTTTCCAGAACCAGAGAAATGTGTTTCAAGTGTTCCTCAAATGTTTTCGAGAAAATCACCACATCATCTATATATGCCTGAGCATAATCACTATGACTCTGCAAAGCACAATTCATTTCCTTCTGGAATGTCCCCGAGGCTCCTGATAAGCCGAAAGGCATTGTTCTCCACTGGTACACTCCATTACATGTTGCAAATGCAGTCAAAGGTTTGCTCTTTTCATCCATTCGGATTTGCCAATACCCTTTTCGAAGGTCGATGCTTGTCAGCCAGTTTGCTGCACCACCCGCCACAAAAATCAATTCCTGCATGTCTTTCATGGGAAATGTTGGAGTTTTCGTTACAGCATTCAATGATCTAAAATCTATACACATTCTAACTGTAGCATCTTTTTTTTCGCCACACAAACTATAGGATGAGCAATTTCTGACTCAGAAGGTTCAATTAATCCTAATTCTAGCAACTCACGTATCTGCTCATCTACTGCTTTGCGGTATGCCATGGGTATTCCATAGCAGTGGGGTTTCTTCCTAATAGCAGTAGGAATAAGTTCGATCTTGTGTGTACCTACTCGTGCTGGTTGCACTGGACGTGTAAATAATGTTTGATATTTCCTCAGTAGCCCTAAAAGTTTACTCCTTTGGACTGAATCTAAATTAGACATTTCTAATCCTTCCAGAGATTCAGAAAAACTCTTTTCTCCCTTGTTGACAGGTATAGATTCAATTTCCCCAAACTCTTCTTCCCCCTCCAAGATAACATTTACTGCTTGGGATCTAACTACATAAGGTCTAATCTTATTCTGATGAACATGTCTTTTGGTCCCATCGGGCATTTGTACTACAAATGAGTGAGAACTTCTCTGTTCCAATATATTTGCAGGACCCTGCCACCTAGCATAAAGCTTGTTATTAGAATCGGGAATCAAGACTATCACCTTATCTCCCACCTTAAATGTTTTTTTATGGTAGACCTTAAATTATGATAGTGTGCTGTCCTCTCTTGTTGAATTTTAGCTGTGAGCTTTGCCTGCTCCGCTGCCTTCTCAAACCTAGCCTTTAGATTTTGTAAATATGTATAAACAGGAGTTGCATCTAATTGTAAATTTTCATGTTTCCCTGTCCATGATGATTTTAATATCGACAGAGGTCCCTGAGGTGTCCTGCCGTACATGAGTTGAAATGGAGCCACCCCAGTTGTTGAGTTGGGTACTTCTCTATAGGCCCACAACACATAAGGAATTTGCAAATGCCACCCTCTACCTTCTTCTCTGATGACATGATGCAACATTCTTTTTAAAGTACCATTAAACCGTTCAACTAATCCATTAGCTTGAGGATATCCAGGGGTCGAAAACTTAGGACTGGCCCCTATTCGTCTCTCAAATTCTTGAGTCAAATCTGCTTTAAAATTTGTTCCATTGTCACATGCAATTACATTTGGAATACCCGTTCTTGAAAAAATATGTAATAACTCCTCACAAGTCGACTTGGCGGAGAGGCTAGTTAGAGGTATTGCTTCTGCCCATCTGGTATGCTGATCAACTAAGCATAATATATACTTATGACCCTTAGAACTGGGAGGATCAATCGGACCTATCACATCAATGTTTACAATTTGGAAGGGCAGATCTGGCCTCGTTACTGGGGTGATTGGTGTCCTATCAACAGTTTTAATTGGTCTAGTCAACTGGCACTCTTTACATGCCTCGCAAAATTTCTGAACGTCTAACCTCAGACCTTCCCAATAAAAAGAGTATCTAATTCTCTCCACAGTTTTTCTTTACCCCCATGTGGCCACTAAACACCGAGCAATGTGCTAACTGCAAGACTTCCTCCCTTCGACTCTTAGGTACAACTAATTGCCCCACACTTTCCCCAAGAATTTTGTCCTTATGAAAGAGAAAGTTATCCACTGTATAATAATTCCCCTTTCCTTTCTGAGCATTCTCCCATGCTCCTACCAGAGATTCACAAGTCTCCTGCTCTCTTCTAAATACATCCGCTGTACATAGTCTTCCTGGCTGAGGTTCTTGGCTTTCACTTGATTCCATCTTCCCTTTCTCATTGAGATTCCTTCCCATACTAGCGTTTCCTTCTAGTTTCCCTGTGTTTACCTTCACAGACTTTTCCTTTCTGCTAACCTCTGGGATGTTTGTGGTTTCTTCAGGTAAGTTTTCCACCCCTTCACCTGTGTCATATAACCGACCTCCTAACATGGTGAATACTTCCGGAGGAAGCAACACATCCTCTGCCAGCGATTCTGCAACTGCACACAAAATCTCTTGATGTGTAAACATTGGCACTTTCTCCTACAGTAATACTCAGTGGAATGCTTACCAAAGGGCATTTAACAGCTGGACCAAATATACCTTTCACTTTCAATATATACTAGATCCTTCCTTCAGTTGGAGACTTTTGGTTAACTCTTTCTTAACCACCGTAATTTCTGTTCCTGAATCAACGAGGGCCTTTCCTATTGTTCCATTTACACTAATAGGAACCCTTTTCAACTCACACAGCTTATAGTCGTTTACATCCCCTGACTTCCTCAAAAGATCCACACGAGCTACTACAACTTTGTCCTTTAGGATATCATTATCCTGATCTTTCTTTACCCAGTTTATCCTTTTCCTCATTTCTGTTATACTGCTTAGAACCTTTAATCTGAGGACAGTGCCTTTTAAAATGTGAAGCTGAACCACATACAAAACATGTTAAACCTTTAACGTTCCCTGTGGTTTTCCCTATGGTTTCTGACGTATGCTGACTGCCTCGTCTTTCTTCGACCTTAGGTTTCTCACCTACTGCCTGATTTAAAATCTTAGTTTCACAAGCTTCCCTACGTACGTTGTAGGACTTCCCTTTAGCCGCAAAGAATATGTCACACTCCTTTCCAAGCTCTCTTGGCTTGAACCACGAGTCTCCCTGCCTTATACCTATGTGTACTGCAGTTTCCGTATCAAGGGTCTGGTAGATTTTGTCCGCTACCACCAACTGATTAAGACCTTCAAAGTCTGTCACCCCCATTGATTTCACATAATTTTCCCACATGGCAGTAACTCTAGTAGAAAACTGGCCAAAGGTCTCTTCTGAACTTCGTCTTGCCTTTCTGAAATTCTCCAGGCATACCTGAGGTGAAGGTTTAAATTCTTTCAACACAGTTTTTCCTTTATTTCCTCATAATTCCCATACTTATCCTCGCTTATCAATGTTAAGAAATTTGCCGCTTTATCTCCCAAAAGGTAAATCAGAATTTTGGCCTTATACTCATCAGGGACACTTTCATTGACATAAGCTCTTTCTAAACTGGAGAAGAAATAGTCCCAGCCATCTGCTTTACATGGAACCTTTACTGTCAAATATCTGATTGTCCTCGTTAACTCTTCTACTGATCTTTCCTTCCCATTCTCCCCCCGTTCGGGTGTAGTACTCCTATTCGAGTAACGAGTCTGGCAATCTACCTTATACTTCTCAATGGCAATCCTCTCCTCTGCCTCTAACTTTAATTTATATTCCCTTTCTTGCCTTTCCTCCTTTGCCTCCCTATCTGTAATGATAACACTCAGAAGATCCTTTGCTACTTGCTCCTCATAGCTTTCACTAGCAAGAATCTTTTCCCTCAAGTCCAAAATCCTAAATGTAGGCAACACATTAACACCAAACTCTTGTGCAAGGGCGACTAGATCAGCCTTTCTAGGTTTGGCCAAAAATGACATTATGCGACTTTATGTTCAACTTAATTAAAATAACAGAAAATTAAAACTAAACTTCCTTACATAAAATTATACATTAAGTTAAATCCTTAACTGCTGTTGAATCATAAACACATAGTATCTGCATTAAATATGCACAACATCCAAATATTCAATAAATAAAAAAACATGTATGTTTCTATATAAGCATTTGAAAACTAATGCAATCATATCTCATAAATAAAACACAAGCATTACTTAAATTAATGATCATTCACTCATATAATAAAAGATAAATGCACTTGCAAGGTAATTCAAGTCTCATATGATAATAACACTGATAATTTTTGTCTTATAAAATACTTGTTCAAGTGTACCTTTACATTAACAGCAAATTTTTCATAAACACAAAAACATAAATAAATCACTTAACGAGAGAACCTGGTAGAAGATAACTATTCCACTTAATAAGCTTCGCAGCATTCGTAAGGAATTCACTTGAGCTTTTTCCGAGTCGACAAATATACATCCGACCAGCTGCCACCACTGTCATATAATCGATCCTTTGATCACTGTCATAAATCGATCCTTTGATCAATTCATCTTTGTCGGTTCGTTTCTATCCACTTATGAATGTTATTAGTCAACTCTATTTGCAGGAAATAAACTGGGACACTTATGCAGGTTTAATAATAACATGAGCTATATTTTAATTTTGTAAATACACATTAACTTTTCACAAAGTATTGCTTTTATTCACATTTACATCAAACGCACAAGTAATACATTGCATCTCTCAGTTCCTAACAAACAAACAAACAAACAAACAAACAAACAAAAAAAAAAAAAAAAGACAAACTCTACTCTCGGAATACAGCCAAACTAATTTCAAATTTTTTCTCACGAGCATGCCGTTCTTCTCGCATCAAGCACGTTTCTTCTTCTCGTTGCCAGATTTTCCCCTCTACCTTCAGATAAACTGTTTTTTCACACGAGCATGCCGTCCTTCTCGCATCAAGCACGCTTCTTCTTTTCGTTGCCAGATTTTCTCCTGTCTCCTTTCAGCTATAAGTCGTTGGCTTTCAGCTATAAGTCTGTTCTTCCGGCAGGTTTGGTCGGTAGCGTAGAGTATGTGCATGACAGTCACTTAATCACATTTTTGTGGTTAGACCCTCAAGATAATAAGTGTATTTGTTTTCATAAGTTTTTTTTTCCCTAAATTTTACTCTTATGTTTTTAGCGTTGATAGACAGATAGTAATACAAAACTTTGTTCTTAGGCCTGACTCAAGCTGCCGGTCTAGTTTGTTTTAAAGACAGAAAAGCGGAGAGGGATTCGGACACAGCTGCCTTGCTGCGGAAAGCTGGTGCCATACCAGTGGCGATTACTAACGTTCCGGAGCTATGCATGTGGTGGGAAAGTGCTAACAATGCTTTCGGGAGGACCAAAAATCCTTTTGACATCAGAAGAACCGTTGGTGGCAGCTCAGGTAAGAATCATCACTCTGTTTACTCTCATTCCATGACTGGGTGAATTTCAACTGTACGTGTTTATCCATTCTGTATATATAAATAAGAAATGAACAGGTGGAAATCGATACATCAATTGAAAAAAAGAATTATTGTAAAAATTATACAGGACATCTCAAGAAAATCTTCTAACCGCAGGCTGGCAGAAGGTGTTCTTTGAACATGCAGCAAGAAAGAACAGTTTGCGAGTTATGAGACTATGATTATCAATTATAAGCAGATACAAACACTAGCTTAATGGAGAGTGAGTCACGAAATGTTATCAGCACATTCTAGGTCCAAAAATAAGCAAAACGTGTTCAACGAATATGCATCAGGAATATGAATATGCGTCAGATAATTTGCGAATTGCGAGTTGTTGAACATTAACGCAAAAGTATTCGAAGATTAGCTCCCTTGCAGAGCAATGTGGATCTATTGGACAATGTCCTCAGAATATTGTCGGAATTCGCGGGGAACGATCCGAGTACTTAAGTGGTGCCGAATTTCGCTTCAGGATGCTCAGTTAGAAGAAGATTCAGAAGCAGCCTAGCTTCTACAATATTTTATACTTAATTTTCCCCACATTTTGTGAATAAATCGTTTTCCAAGAAGCATTAAGACAGTTTTAGCTATTAGTCTCGAAACACGAGTTTGCGTTAATTCACTTTAAATGCGTTGTTTAGCTTTTCGTTCGAGTCTGTTGCCATTCGTCAAAATGTAAGATATGTAGCTCTTAAATTTAATCTATCTGTTATTGATTAACAAACTAAATTATTGAAAATTAATAGATACAGTCAATAAGAGTATTATTTTTATTCTTTAATCTGATTGATTTAAATCAAAATACATTTAATTCCTAATATGTCTAATTGAAAACATTAAATATTCTCCTTTAGAATTACATTAAAAAATTTTTCACTTTTAAAATATGCAGTAGATATCTAACGTTCCTGTCTTATTAATCTAGTATCCTATAAAAAAAGACGCTCTCATGTATATTTATCTAGCATCCTATAAAGCATTTCGCTATTCCATCTATTGCCATCTCTATTAATAATCTCTAATGATAAATCATATTCAATTTAAAAGAGACCTTTTGGGAGATCATTTTGTATATGTAAAGATTTAAAAATAGTTTAATGTGGCAGATGCATTTACAAAGAAGCAGAAACTTGCAAACGTGGCGAAATTCAGTTATTTCTTTACTATTCATAGTTGGGCCACATTTTTACTCAATCCAACACAAATCAAAATTGCGCTATAGCGCCTTCTTCTAAAAGAACGTTGTATATCGGATAAGCTTGAGAAATATATTTTTTTAAAGTAGCAGGCAGCAGCGCATTACAAAACTCAAGAGGGAATGCGAAAAGAATGAATGCGACGCATTTAGAAGAGCGTGCGAGGAATCTAAAAATTTTGATTCTCAGAAAATGATCGGCTATAATATACCTGCGTAAGAAAGCAAGATGCGGTTTCATTCTGAAATGACGCACTCAGGTTGATCAATAACAAATAGTTCCTATTTTTAGGATAGAAAGGAAACCCAAATTTAAGTGAAAAATAAAGAGTCTATTGAGAAATTAAAGTTAGCAGTTTGCTTTACATCTTTTTTTCTTACATATATATTTATATAAATAAATACAAAGTAAAAAACTGTTCAAAACTTAATCCAATTGCGCGCTGAAAGCAGCAACAAATGGTGATGATAATGCAAAACAAATTCAAATAAATAAAAAATGTATTTAAAATTCATTCCGTATTCAATTCGAAATAAACCATAGCAAAAACCAGAAAACGACACATTAGTGGTACAGACAGACAGACTGCAAGAAAAGAGGCAAAAGAGGCCAAAACCGAGAAATGAAGAAAGAAGTTTATATCTTTGGCTGCATCGTCATCAGGGTGTCGGTGCAACGAAAAAAGTAAATAACTAAGCCTGTTTCTGAATTAGTAAAGGCACAATTTAAAGTTTAAAACTTAAAATAATCTCAGAAAAAATTCGAAATAATCTGTCTCTTTATTAGTCTAACCCCTACAGATCATAGTAATTGGACTGATAAAGACACAAATTACTCTGAATTTTTTTCCCTAAGATTATTTTAAAATTTACATTTGTGTCTTCGTCTGTTCAAAAACAGGCTGTTTTATTTATTCACTTCTTTCGTTGGCCCTCGCCTGATGACGATACAATGAAAGATGTAAATTTCATTTTCATTTTCGGTTTTAGCATATTTGGCTTCTTCTTCTGTTTCTTGCAGTTTGCAGCTTTGTTTCTGCATTTTTATCTAGTTTATTCTGAATTGAATATGGGATAAATTTCAAACGTATTTTTTTTTTAATTTTGCATTATTACCACCATTTGTTAGTGCAATCAGCGGACAAATGATTTAGGTTTTGACCTGCTTTTTACTCTGTGTTTATTCATTTATGTATGTATGTATATAAAATATAAAAGGCACTAATTCGCAACAGGCCTTTAAATTTCTAATTTGAATTAAAAGACACCCCCTTCTTCGCTTCTGCATTGACCTCACTCTTTCCCAGCAGTATTCTGCTCTGCTGTGAACTTTTATTCAATTATCATTTAGAAGTCAAACAAAGAATTTCCGAGTGTAAATATTTCAACTGCCTTGTGTGCACTTTCTTTTGTTGCTTGCTTATGCCTGGAATAGGCCACGTCTCTGGCTTGGCTATATTTCAGCATTGTTTTAAAAAAAAATGTAACTCATAGTTTAAAATTGTGAGGTGCAGATTACCCAGTTGTGCTTTGCCATGTAATGAGATATGTTATGCAATAAGATATGTTGATAAGGATCGACAAGTAATAAACAGTAGTAATAAACACATATTCGGACTAGTAAGTGATTTTTCCTGATTCTTTAAAAGAATTCCAGTTTTCTACTATGCCATAGACGCAAGCTGTCTTCTGGCATCGCCATTCCAGCCACGACTGAGACACAATTGGTTTTTTCATCGTCCCATCTAAAAAATTATCATAAATATATATAATTAATCTTCTTACTAAAAGCGCACTTTTGAGAAGAAAACAAAAAAATTTTTAATTTCATAAAGTTTTATCAAAAGATGTTTTGTGTCCAAAATTACTGCAGTTGAAAAGACAATTTATTTAAATGGAAATATGAATCTGCATATCTAACTGTGTTATCTTTCTAAATAACTTAAAAGGTTCTAGTAACACTTTTTTTGTTGTTTATTTTCGGCCTCAGGAGTCACGCAAGACGTTTGGCGACTTTATTTCTGAGAGACCTTATACATATTATTATGCTGTAATTACCAGGTACTTGTTGAGCATATGATGTAGTTAGCAGAACAAAACAAATCAAACGGCAAAGGCCCTCGAAGCAGCTTTTTGCAAATTTGCTTTCTCTGTGAACTCAAAAAATCGTTGCAAACAAACGCTGCAGTGAACATTCGCTAGTCTTTGAACTTCTTGCGTGAGCTTCATATTTTCATTACATTTTTAAGTGAGAGAACAATGCCGTACCAGTAGCCTAGTGGTTAAGACCACTGAATACTGGAAGTTCGAAATAGGTTCGATTTCATGCTGCACGGTTGGTTTTGCCCTTGTGTAACGTGAGTACGAGCCAGTTTTCTTTACATTCTAGATTCTTTCACCCTTCCCAAGTTATCTTTTCCCGTAAGCAGGTTTCTCTAACGCATATTGTATATTCGAATAACCGAACGTAACCTGAACGAACGTGAGGTTAAACAAAGAAAATGCACGACCTTGTGTACTTAACTGTTAATCAAATGTAAAAGTATTGTCATAAATTAGCTATTATCATATTACTAAGCATCCGCTTTTATTACTAGTCGCCTGAAGTGTATTAGGTTTTTTTTAGAACTAGAGTTTGCACTAAAAGTGATTCCGTCAAGAACTGAAGACGTAAATTGGGAAATCTGTCACACAGTGCCAGTCTTTTGAATCAGTTTTTAGCCGCGATCAGTCTGAATCAGTTTGTCAGTCTGATCAGTCAGTCATATCAGTCTGACAGTCTGATCAGTCATTCATATCAGTCTGACAGTCTGATCAGTCAGTCATATCAGTCTGACAGTCTGATCAGTCTTTTGAATCAGTTTTTAGCTGCAAAATCTTTTATAGTTAAAATTTACATGTTCCTTTTCAGGTGGAGAAGGTGCTCTTATCACGGCAGCTGGAGGAGTTATGGGCATCGGAAGCGACTTAGCGGGAAGTATTCGGATCCCAGCCTCTTTCTGCGGAATTTATGGGCACAAGCCTTCATCAGGTACAACACTGGAAGTGAATACTGTGATTATGGACCAAATAACGATGGTGATCTTTTTAACTGACCATCCGAGGTGAAACTGTTATTTAGATTTATATTTATTAGTTACACATGCTCCAATAACGTGAGCTTGCACTCGCGTTGGTAAGTGAAGAACAATTACATAACAGTTATGAACTCTCATGAGAAATTTTAAGGTGTGAAACATACGGTGTTAAAATGAGTGAAATCCCATTGCTAAATATAACTACAATGTATTTCTCTTATTTTCTATAGAATTGAGTTAAACTGTTGCGTAAGTTCTAGCTTATAGATACCTTATAAAAGTTATGACTTAGAAACATAAAATTTAGCAAAAGAAGCTTCCTGATTTGCTAGAAATACACAGAGCGTAATATGCTAGTCATTATAGCAGCTAAAGATTAGTGCTACCTAATTCTCTAACGAAACTGATTATAAAATATCTAACACTCATTCAGTGACCAGCTCACATTACCACTATTTCAAGTCACAATTTGTTATCCGCTTATCTTGCGAGAAATTTATCTTCAGCTATTGTAGAGTCAATAAATTATATCGATGCTGGAACGTGAAAAGTGTGCAGTGCACTCGACAGGATTCGAACGCTGGTCCTCACGAAGTGTGCTTCCAGTTACACCACGAAGGCATGCGAAAAGGAAAGAGAAAATACCTTATACGACTTACAGAAATATCTAATACAGCACTTTACTGTACTTTTTTAGGCAATGCTGCCAGGGGGGGATAGTCAAAGAAGCCAATAATGATTATAAAGAGGATATTATTTTGATTTCCTCTCACAATAGAAAATTCATAATCTGAAATGCGAAATCAATGCCTTTTTTGCGTAATAAGACGCGGTAAGAAAGGCTAAATTATTTTCACCCTTCTCAGTGCTTCTCTTTCATTTCGAAAAGTAGACATAGAAATGTTTACCTAAAGGATTTAATACCTTTACCTAACAGTAGATTGTGATCTAATTTTACTAACTATAGATTTTCGAGTTGTAGAACTAATACTATTGTCTGAATTCAAAAGAACTTACTGTTTTGTTACAACTGGTTTTGATTGCTTTTGATTTTTTCTCCAGGTGTAATTTCAAATAGGAAATACTGGCCGGACAGTGAAGGGGCATTAGACGAAATCCTCAGCACAGGTCCAATGTGCCGATATGTGAAAGATCTCTTGCCTCTTGTCAAAGTGTTATCGGATAATGATCGAAGGCTTCGACTTGAGGAAAAAGTAATTTTTAATTATTTGGAGTATTTAAATTCAAATTATGGAACAAGCCATATCTGTAAATATTTCCTATACAAAGATTTTAATAAATGACAAAAATCTCACCTTTGTTTCACACACATTACTGTAAAAGAAATCAGTGCAAAGAAGGCAAAAATCTCCTGTCTTAAGAGTTGGCTTTTCTGCATATGTCCTTTAAGTTGAGATTCTTTGTTATGTCGAAAACTTTCGGCTTAATTTTCCAACATTTAAAATAGGCCCTCTAAAAGCAAGATACTTTAAATATCTTATTCTAGCCATTTAAAAACTAGAAAAATTTAACAGCATTTTCTGAAGTGAAAGATAATCTTTAAACTCATAAGGGATTTTTATATTAAGAATATAATACTATAAATTATAGTTAATCCATATGTAAGCTGCACGATGATATGATTTAAAACCCTCTATGTTCAACAAATCTTAGATTTCAGAGAATCCAAACCGCGAAATTATTTACTTTTTCACTGTTAAAGCATGCTGAGACTTAACCTCCTCAGTAGTGGAAAGAGATCAACTCGGAGAAAATTTACTTTTGGTTTATTTCATTAATGAATTCATTCAATTAAAAATGAAATATTTAAATGACCTCAGTAGCTCAAAGTGAAGCAGTTCGCTGGTTTTAAATGGGAAGATCTCTAAGCACGATTGCCAGAAAACTTTACCTAGGGCGGTTTTAACTCACATAATAAAAAGATGCTGTATAATAATTACTGATAATCTTTAAAAAGTTGGAATTTTAGATATAGATTTAAATATACTGCATGTTCCAAAAATAACGGAAAAAACACAAATTTAATAATCTGAAATCTGTAGACAGTTCTACTACGCGATTTTCACAGAAATGCATAGCAGAACATGGGATATGCTTTAATAACAAAAACCTTTCTTGCCAATTAAAATTTTAACGAGAGGTCCATAGCGCTGTAACGGTCCCTGAGAACGAGAATTTTAAATAGTAATAAGTGGAGATCATTCAGGATCATCTTTAATGTGTGTCCTTAAAAATTCCAACAAGTGCAAGAACCGATTTATACAGAGATCTTAAATTTGCTGATTGGACTTTTTAACAGATGGAAAGCATATGAGGACTGGCTATCAAACATTTTGTACACTGACGAGGAGCACGTTTCTCTTAAAAGAAGCGTAATTGCATGCAATTGCCTATTTAGACCAAAGAGAACCGCAACCAGTCAGAGGTTACGGTACAATGCGGGTTAACTGCGTCATTCATTATAAAACCTTTTTACTTTAAGGAGGTCCAAAGTGGTACATGTGAAGTTGTTTCTTTCACAGTCTAGCGTTATGCAGTGTCTTTAAGCATGGCATCATTTCTTCCTTGCAAGACAGGAAAGTGCTCCATATTATAACATTCATGCAAGATAAAGCGTTTCCTCACAGGTACTACCCAACACTACAATTACTGACATTTGACAGTGATCGTGTGCTTACTTGCACTTTCCCACATGATGGCTACCTTGTGACCTCAGTGGCCGTTGGGCCTCCTCACACCTTGTGATTTTGGATTACTTGAAGTCGGGTTTTTAACATAGAGGTAAGAATACTTCCTTCCTCGGTGAGGTTTATAGAAGTTGGCCGACGTTTCTGGCCATACGGAGAGAAAGTATTCGCCATCAGGTGACAAGAATTGCAGATGAAATGTACCTTTGATGTTCTACTTGCAAAAGCTACAGAAGTTAAACGGAAGACGTTTTCTTATATTTCCAGGTGCCATTGTTGAATGTGACTGGCAGAGGGTGTGTAAGAAGTTCTGGAGTGGAATTTTTAATTTTGAGTAAAGGTCTTGAATTGAATGACTAAGATGAAGCGGAAAATGAAGAATTGTAGCTGCTGGCAGAGTTAAAAACATGTGCCACTAATAAAGACTAGTCATCATCTGTGGTAAATACCAACAGATCATTTGAAATAGCATTGAACGTTTTTTGGTACTAGTGTTTCCGTTTCACATCAACACGCAACTCAAAAATTTAAGTATACCGATTTTCATATCTATCTCTATTCACGAGCAATGAATTTAATTGGAAATGGGAAATGGCTTCGTTATGCTTTTGTTACTGAAAAAGTACACAAGCTTTATCGAAGGTACAATCTGCATTGATCAATAGACTTATATGATTCTTGAGCGGGACAATGTTTAATCACAATGCTAATACATGCTACGAAAAGTTAATAAAGATATATTCTTACTCGTGAGCTTGAGAATCTAAATACTATTCTCGATTGTTATCTTTTTAGGTCACTGCAGCAATTTTTGTTGCAAACACTTCCCTAGTGAGTGGCTGGAATGAATGAAATGAAATAGATAAATGAAAATTTTACAGCTAACCCCCAAACCGTTCAACTGAAGAGTTTTCTGAAATATGGGCAGAAGCAACTGAAATGTATAAATATAATGTTCAGTATATGCAAAAATATTTTTTTTCATTTGAATTGTCTGTTCCGATCCTGCATTATTTTGCAGTCAACTTTGTAATCTAATATAGAAAATGTTTTAAAGCATTCCCTCAAAATTACCTTTTAGAGCGTAAACAAATATTTCTTCTCTCTTGTGTTCTGGTGGTGTAATAGTTAATATGCCTGCCCCATAAAATGAAGTCCCTCGCTCGTTTGTCGGTGAAAGCATAAAACATTTTTCAAGAAATTCCACTTCCGAACACTTAACGTGCCCTTAAATGCATTAAAATATTTACTAGGTTTTAAGTGTATGGATTTATTTAAGATGTTTCATAAGTCTACAGTTCTTCCACCCAATAATTACAAATGTCATAAGAAGAAAATTGTAATTCTATTCTATACATGAAAATGTAATTAAAATTTCGAAAATGGCTTTCAAGCGAGAAGCAACATGTCACCCAAGAGTTGACCTCATTTATTTCCATTTCAGGTGAATTTCCGTAATGTCAAAGTGTATTACATGGAAGAAGTCCCTGGATTTCTGAATTCTGCTATTAGGCCAATTAAAGCAGCTGTTAGAAAGGTTAGTGCACAATAATTTTTCGCAACGCTATTAACTGGATAAAACATGCGCCATGTTAAAAGTTTAAGTTCAAATAGTAAATTATTATTATTTAAATTACGCAAAAGAAGTGTTTCTGAACGACACTGTTACCTTTACAGGAGATTTAAAGACAATTTAGTAAGATGTCTCTTAGCTTCTTAAAATAGAATGTAATTGAAGTGATCTGTAAAAACGTCTTTCTCATTCCTGTGAGAGAGTAGATCTTGACAAGCAGACAGTAACTTGTGGAATTGTAGCTTCATCTCTGTTTTAGTATATATTCCCTTATATTTCTCCTATAAACGGTGAGAGCCCACCATTGGAGTAAAAAATAATTGCTTATAGCAATGTTATTCAAATAATCTTAATTTGCCATTTCTTTGAAAATAAAAGATCTTTAACATTTCCAAACTAAATTTTCTGCTAAACGGATTTTTTATACCATCAGTATATGATAATTATGTGTGTAATGAGTAAATACAAGTCATAATGAAAGCTCATTTTCACCTTCTACTACTACAAAATAAATGGAACTAAGAAAATTAAAAAAAGAAGACAAAAAATCATAAAATTCAAATTGCCTAAAAAGAAAAAATAAATGTAATGCTGTTTGAAAAGCAAAACATTAATCTGAAAATTATTAGCAGATGATACGAAACAGCAAGGATAAAAATTTTGGATTATGTCAAAAGTCAGAGTTAATCAAACTGACTTAAACAACCCTATATTATTTTCCATCTCTCAAATGTGTGAAGCTAATCGAAGCATGGTTCATGACTTCTCTTTCTGAAGGAACTTCAGTCACAACATATGTAGATTAAGCAGTTGCAAATCCGTTATTATTCACATGGCGTATTCAACTCAGAATTTTACACGATTATCTATTTGAAAAACCTCACTTCCTGTTCTCGAAAAATTAGCACTGAATGTCAGGAAAAACTTTACTGCTGAGAAACATCAAATTATATGTACTTAACATGGTTTCAAGTATTAGGAATTAATTAATTGCGTAAATAACTATTACTATAAGGTTGTCTTCATCTGACTTCTAATTAAATATCCAAAAATTATTTTTTCAGGAAAATTTTCACCATCAGAACGTTAGAATCGTCTGAACAGAAACTTTAGTATTCAAGTTCAACTAAATAGTTTATTCTTACAATTTTCAAACTTTATAGAACTAACGTACTGTAAGATGTTATCCGCATAATTTGAGCTCTGTAAAATTAACCGAGTATTTAAGGTCCATAATTATAAATATAAACGAATAACCATTCCTTAAATGGCTAACTGTCGCCAACTAAACATTAGCTCTTAATAAACCATTAAATATGTCATCAAAATTGTAACTGTAATTTAGCATACAGAAGTAAATGATCTTAATTGATCTCTAACTACAAGAATTACTAAAATTTGATAATGCAAGCCAACTTAAGGGATAGTTGTACCCTTACTTAAATTTAACCCAGTTCGCATTGTTTTAAAAATCGACGAAAGAATAAAAAAAAACCAAAAAATAATTATTTACTTAAATCATACAGTACTAATTGAGTCTCTTAATATGTTGCAATCACATTATTGCAGAATGTTAATTCTTTTATCTAAATCTGAAAATATTGACTTCTACTATTAATTAAAGTATTTTGATTTTAGGCTGTGGAACATTTTGAAAATGAATATGGGATCACTGCCACTAAAGTTAACATCAAAGAATTATCATATGGCTTCAATATCTGGGAGAGCAAATTGTTGGAAACTGGGTCACCTCCAGTAGCCAGCATGCTGAGCGGCGAAGTTGGCAAAGATTCGAGCATCAACCTAACCATGGAGCTGATTAAAAGTTTCTTCCGATGTTCAGACCACACTTGGCCAGCTATTTATAATGGAATGATCGATATGCGAGAGAAGAATAAATTCCACTACAAATGCTTAGAGAAATTCAATGTCCTGAAGGCGAAATTCGAAGAGCTTCTACAGGGTGATGCCATATTCTTGTTACCTACTCATCCAGAACCTCCACCACATTACCTCATGACGATTCCTAAATATCCCAACATTGTATATACTTGCACTTTCAATATTTTAGGCTACCCATCGACACAGATTCCAGCAGGGTTGTATCAGGGATTACCTATTGGTTTCCAAGCCATCAGCAGAAGATTCCAGGATCATTTAACCATTGCAGCAGCCGTTGAACTAGATAAGGTGTTCAGTGGTTGGATATGTCCATGTCCTGTCAATGTTTAATAAACACTATTCACATACGAGCTTCCCGAAAGATAGCATAATCACAGACTTGAGCAAGCTGTTTTCATTTTCCATGTGATAGATATGAATGAGAGCTTGCTTTTCCCTATTCAATGAAATTTTTCATATTTTTACAGCATTTGGAATATTGTACAGCAGCGAATTAAAGATAATATATATATATATATATATATCACCATGAACTTATAAACGATTTTGTATAGAGTAGTGCTTGACAAGTGGTAAAATTTCAGTTTCAGCGTTAGTTTTTCATGCAAAAGAATTTTAGAAGGAGAATCTTAGATTTAGTTACTTAAGAAAGAACTAAATTTGAACTCATTAATATCGTTTATGCAAGATATTGAAGAATGTCAATAAAATACATATCCTTTTATATTTTGTATTATTTTATTTACGCTGCACATTAATTATTTTACAAAATTAAAAAAATTAGTCTATTTCAATTACAACCTTCTTCAGTTGGTGTAAAAGAAGAGTGCTTGAAATTAGACAATATTCGGTTAGGTTAAATTACTTTACAGCTCATTATTACTTTGCAGATGTTTGTCTCATTGCGTCACATCACGTCTCGTTACGTTACGTTAAGCCACCAAGCCCTTTACCAATTGCTATTCGACACATCATAAGGTCTTTATTTCCCATGCAGCTTGCCAAATAATCATTTTCCACTCGACATGTCATTAGGTCTTTGATTTAATTTTCAAACTGTTGATTTAATTTTCAAACCCATGAGTTGCAATTTAAAATGCATTTAAATTATAATATATTCAATTGATAAAGGTTTATGAATATTTTTATTATTTTTGTAATTAAGATGTTTCTAACACCAAAACTGTACCAGGTATAAAATTATTTGTTTTAATAGAAATTCATATTGTATTTTCAAGGAATCTAACTAAAGGCTTTGTTTTCGATCATAAATTAAATAGATTTAAAAAAAATAATAATTGAAAAATGGCTATATTTTTTAATCCCTTGAAATTCAATAAAAAGTTAAATTTTCCTTAATTTGAAATCTAACGGAATAAAAAAATTTCCCCTTTCGCAAAGTTTGCTTTACATGCAAACAGAAAATATTTTTTTAGTAAACATAATCGTCTGTATAAGCGATGCTAAAACCATGAATCTTCGAATTTACTTTTTCCGGAAAGTAGTTAAGCAAGCTATGCCTTCTGCATGTTATTATTTATAAATTGTTCTCAGAAAATATGCAACTTCCACTCTACTCATAGAATTTAAAATCGAGAAATAAAGTGAAAAATTTATTTGTATAAAAATAGCAAAAATTTTAGATTCGTAGTTTTGGCGAGGTACACGCACAATGGTATGTGGATTTACGTAACTCTCAGAAGTTTATTAATGTTTTATATGTTTTATATATTTAATAATTCCTGCAAGAGAATTCATATAAAAGTCATAATTTTTTTTCCACAGCATGATTATGCATTCATTTTTAAGAGAAAAAAATTCCGTTACAAACAATAATGTACATAACTGTAAGAATTCCGTATAATCGTCAAACTTCCTCAGCTGCACATGTCATTTCAAGCAGTTTATCTCAATCCAGGAAAATTTACGAAAAAAAAAGCTTCATCTTATCGTTGAGTATTTAGATATTTCATTGTTTCTGCAAGCCATAAAATTTTCCTTTCTGTAAATGATACTGTTAAGTGTCTTTTATCGACGCCTTCTTTTTGATCCACTTTATGATTCATTCTTTCCTTCTACATCGGGATAAACTCAGCTTTAAGTATGCCTTTTACAAAATCATTCATTTATCCGAGATACAGGTAGTAATGTAAGAATAATTATAAACTTTTAATAAGTCTTTACGTTTAGTGATTTGAGTGAGTCATAACATTTAGTGATTTTAGTAAGTTTTTGGCCTTATAAAGCAAACAATAAAATCAATTATAATTTAATCGAATAAAAGAAGAAATTTTATAATTAAATATCGCATTCTCGCATGCCTCTTCTCCAAGTGTATGTGGTTAGTATATTCAGCCAGAAATTAGAAGACCCGTGGTTAGAATAATTTCGGCGAAACTTCCACTAATTTTTTAGTTTGTTGGCTTCTAAAATCCTAGTGCAGTCTACAATTTTGCTAAAACTAATTCTAAAACATTAAATGCATTTTACTACTTTCTTGTTCACAGTATTTATAAGCATCAAAACAGAGGAATAGATAGGAATAGATGGGAAAAAAAGAAGTCCCTGAAGTTAATCCTATCTTCATTCTCTTTAAATCATTGTCTGTCTAGCACTTAAACTGTAACTAGAATACTCACTGAAAATCTCTTATTCTCTACCTACCTAGGATCCCATTGCGAGTTCGCATGAAAGTTTACTACGACATCAAACTCGAGATCTTTCTCTTTTGATTTTAGTTCTGGAAATAAAAGGATTCTCTCAATGTTACCAAATCTAACAAACAAGAATGAAAAGGCACTGCGATTTCATATCGTGTAAACGTTGCTGATTTTTTAAAGCAATGTGTCTTAAAAAATCAGCAATTTGACGCATATTCGCTCTGCAGTAAACCAGATCTCGGTCTATTACAGAGCTGAGATTTCTGTGGCAAATATTCTCTTTCAATAAGCATTTTATTGTGATATTTGGATCATAATGAAACACTGATTTATCTGACATGGAAATTCAATACAAAATGCCCTTGATGTCGTGAAAAACATCAACGCTAAATCCTTTGCATTCTCACTGTTTGGTCTCGGGAAACCCGACAGAACTTCAATTTGAGGCCTGTTGCTTCCATCTCGAAGTTAAAACTATAACAATGTATTGGTAATTTGTATGTAATTTTAATCGTGTAAACCTTTTAAGTTAATAAAATAATAATAATAAACCTAATAAACAAAGAATTTAAAAATTATTGCTAATGCTTGGAAAATTTAAAAAGCAATTGAATGCTTAAGAGTTTTTTTTTTTTTTTTTTTTCCGCGTCAGAATTTTTATTATTTGGATAAGATTTTGCCACTGGCCTGATTTCTGTATTGAGATGAGACTTTGTGGATTTGCTTGTTATTTTTAATTTGAATATGGAAGTATGCGAGGATTATCTGCCTAAAACGAGTTAAACTGTAATGTTCAACGGTCAAACCTAGACGAGACTTCGGCAGTCACAAGGCAATATTGCAGCTGGGTACTCTTGTTGCACCATAGTATTATGCTTTGTCATGTGCTTTGCCGTAATCATTTAAACCAAACCCACCTCTTTTAAATACGCTAACTTAGCTAACGTACTATATTATAGTTAGTATAGCCTAGAACATTTGGTCTTCCCTTGATTGCACTTGCAATCAAAGAAATGCCCTTGAAAGCCATTTCATGGGGACAGAAGCGGATAGTGGAGCTGAAGGGAGAAGGCACAGCTGATGCCATTCCATTCGCACATCCTCACAGAACAGGAGCTCGCTTGTTTGCAGTTATCTCGTCCAAATGCTTCTTGGTTCGCTATATTCGTTTAGCTAATTAGTTTTTTCCACTTTCTTATTATATTTTTATTGTTATCATTCTTATATATATTTTTTGCCAACTAATATAAACAGTTTTAATGGCACTTGGCAAAATCAGTGTTTTGAAACTAAAGCATTTTTAACATTGTCTTTGGAAAGAAAAACTGAAATAAAATGAGTCATGCCAACACCTTTACTAAACCTTATTGAGGTGACGAAATGTAAGACCACAGATTTCAAAACGGAATTCATGCCCGATGTACAGGGTGGTTATAACCCTATTTAGACCCCTATAGAACCCGTTCTACCTATCGGATTTTGATGAAACTTGGTATATATACGTTAAATGGACTATGGGGAGAAGATTTCTGCAATAAAAAATAGTTCAGATTTTGACCAGCAGATGTCAAATTTCAAAAATTCCTTATGCAAATTAGTCAAACCTATAAAGAGACTTGCAGTCGGAGCCAGAAAATTATTCTGCCTGCCTTTGTCATCGTTAATCATGCACTTACAGAAGAAAGATCGAGCTTTACTGGTAAAACTGTTTTATCAGAACGGAAGCAATTGCCTGAATATCGTCGTTTAAAGGGATTGCGAAAATGGCCCATGTCGAAGAATGGTTTGAAGAAAATGATTGTGAAATTTTTTTATTGCAGAAATCATTTTCCCGTGGTCCATATAATATATATACCAAATTTCATCAAAATTCAATAAGTAGAACTGGTTCGAGAGGAGTCTGAATAGGTTCACTTTAATTATAACCACCCTGTATATTAGTATAATTCAAGATGGGTGAGTTTTCAGAAAATAAAAAGGCATGAATATTCAAGAAGTCGCATTTAAACTCCATCTTAGATTTTAATTTGCTAAGAAAGGTGGATATTCCCCAACAACTCGACAGTGCATTTCGTTTGAATGTTAAAAAACACAATTTGAAGGTTGCCAAGAAATCGTGAGGTTCTAACAAAAATTGTTGATTGCATTCTGTTTTGCGGTGCATTTGAGTTTGCACTTCGAGGACATGATGAACGCTAAAATCCTTTAAATCCGAGAGTTTCACAGGTCTTATCAGCTTCTCAGCAGAACTTGATTCGTTTCTTAAAGACCATCTCTCTAGAGCCATCGTTTTTAAGGAACATCAAAAAGTAGTTCAAATCATTTATTATATTGCATACATATTATTTGTCAGAAAAATATAAAAAATGAGATCTCGAAAGCAAATTTTGTTTCAATAATAGCAGTTGAAACTAGTGATGTGTCACCCACTCCCCAACTGGTTGCAATTTTTCGATGCATTTTAAGTAACAGACAACCGGTTGAGAGATTCTTGGGGTTGAGAGACTGGTTGAGAAATCCACCTGGGTATTATGCAAAATCTGTAGCTGAATGTATCCAAGCAAACTTGGAAAACGTAGTAGACAAACCAAGAAATTAATGTCGCAGAGCTATTATGGTGCAAGCGTGATGGGTGGTCATCATCTTGTGCCCAAACTTTTATTCAACGTACCTACAAGAATGCACAATATGTGCATTGCTACGCACATCAGGTCAGTTTGACTGTTGGGCAAGCAAACAGTCAGAATCAGTAAGTTCGATTATTTGCTTCCAACTTGAGTTATGTCACTAACTTCTTCAATAATTGTCCACAGAGAATTACTATTCTAAATGAAACGGTTAGAAAACAAAAAATGCCTCATTAGTCAGCTACTAGATGGAAATTTAAGGGTAAAACTATCAACACAGTGTATGAATATAGGGAAGAGTTGATTGAATGCATAAAAAAAAAAAATCCAAGGTCTAAACAAGCTGAATCAATAAATCAAGTAGAGGCTATTCACCATAGGTTAGAAAATACAGAATCTGTGTTTTGGCTTACATTGTTTCACAATATTATGAAACATATCGATGTGTTATACAATCAGCCTCAGATAACGCTTACTGAAGCAGCACTCATTAGAAGGAAAGTAAACGTCTTTTAGTAGTTATTAGAGAAAGAAAGGAAGAGAATGGACATCGTGACAGAGGAGATATCGAAACCCTGTGAAGCTGCAAGGAAAAGGAAGAGAGAAAATATTCATATAAACAGAACTGTAGCAGCTAAAGATATATGTGATGTTATCACGAATGAAGTAAAAGAGAAATTTTGCTTTATTCCACACTACTGTTCTGTTCTATCCTCGAAGCTCCACAACTCCAGGAGTGTGAGAAAAAAAGTTTCCAACTCAGATTCTTGACCAAACAACCTTGTTACAGAAGGATCGTCTAGTCTTCGGCAATTTATTACAGAAAACAGCTTACAGAGTATGTTTACGGAGACTATCTACCAACTGTTGCTAATTATTGTTACTATTCCAATGACCACTGCTAAAGCTAAGAGATACTTCTCAGCTATAAAACCAGTTAAGACATTTTTGAGAAGCACAATGAGCGAGGAAATATTAAGCGGTCTATGCTCTCAATTGAAACAAAAGCATGAAAAATGACATACCTAAATTCAAGAAAAACTTTATTGATCTCTTTGCCTCAAAAAAAGACAGACAGAAGATTTAATTCACAAAAATTCTACTTGACTATTTTATAATCACACTCAAAAATATATTATAAGCAGTAGTATGGTTTTATTACATTTCATTGTAAGAAATATAATATTTTTTAATTATGAGATCTAGTTTCCTTTCAGTTGCATTGCTTTACTTGTGAAAACGCAAATGTACTTTAGTTTCTAAGTTATGTTGTATCTGCATATTTAATTTTCGAAATTTGTTTTATGAACTTCCATTTAAATTACCTACGAATCGCCACTGGCTTATAGAGAAAACTGTGAAATTACACATGCAGCTAGCTCGCCGATCTGGAGATCTACCATCTTGTCCACTCAACCGCTATTGGGAAACCGAATTGAGTCTGAACTATGAAACATGATGATGGCATTTATGTTGTTCATTTATAGCTGAAGGGTTTTCCTCTATTGCCAGTTTAATCATCTTAGTTTGAAATTCTGTAATTATTTATGTACTTCTACCATTTTTATTAATTTTACTTCTTTATCAAAAGGAGAATATAATGCGGTGTATATCATTTACGAACTTTTAAGTTAAATGTAGAAAACAGCACATTAAAAAGCATAGACGTGTTACTGTGTTCTCATTTGAAGCAATTTGTTAATAATTTCAGTAACGTTCGTCTCAGTTACACAAAACAATTTTACTATCTGGGAATAAATTTTACGTTGTTATTATAAACCAAAGTTGCTAAATCACATATTATACAAACAATGGTAGATTTAAAAGATCGGAAGAAATAGACAAGTAGTTGAAATAATTAATTAATTAATTAAATGACAAAATGCAGAATTCCTAAGAAATCAAAGTTTTTGGTTGGGTATCTATCAACTGTCAATAATTGCTCTACATTCCCTCTTCACGCAGTTTCATTTAATCAGCTAAGTCTCAAATAGTACCTAATTAGTGATTAACGAGTTATGAATACTGTGATATTGGCATTATAGTAAACATTTGCTGTAAACGTCATTAATACATTACGAACCCTAAAAATTAATACATACAAATCCTAAACGTCATTAATACTATATTGCGCGTACGCAAAATTGCGTTCCGCAAAGTTAACGTTCTGTGGAAAAACATTTGCTTGGTTAATTAAGGTTAAAGAAGTTTATTTAATTTAAACAAACCTAAATATTGGTGTAATCAAAAGGGTAAAAAACGAAGAAAATGTTAATTGAAAGGATTTTATTACTATACTTTTGGGTGCAAAATTAAGAGATTTTACAAATTATGTCAATTTTTACGAAACGTATTCAACCAAAGATACTAATAATGCCGTCGAAGCATTATGCAAATACTCAGAGTCGAGTATCTAAGCGTACACATGTGTATCTGTGGAGCTGTGATTGTGGAGGGAATCTAAATGCACGAGTTGTTTTCGGCGTTTTGTGTGCTCTTTCACGATATCTTAAGTATTTCTCGCAAGAGTTCGGTAAATTTGATAACATATCAGGTAAAATGAACCAGGAACACATGGATGACGGAATGAGATAGAAAATTGTCGGTAGACTGGAGGCTGACCAATCACAAGCACAGAGCGCTCATTGAAACACACAGAGTCGTCTGCAATTTGTGTATGACAGTTTCAGGACGCTGGATTCATATCGAGAAGACCTGAACGAGGTCGACCATGATCCACAACAACGAATGCCCTTTCAGCATGCCGACACAAGACTTTTCAGCATGGACTGCTTTCAGGACTGATACGGCTTTACAGCTCTCATGTGAGCTGTATGCTGCCACAGGAAACCGAGTTTGTCTACAGTTGCCCGAAGGCTTCATAAGATAAGCTGTATGTCAGAACACATTGTTTGCGTCCCGCTCACTGCAGCACACAAAACAACGCGTTTAGATTGGTGTAGAGAATATGCGGCTTGGAGCGTCGTTCTTTTTACGGATGTGTCAAGACTGTGCCTAGGCATTGATTCTCCACGTACATGTATCTGGAGACAGCCATGATACCGTCCTTTCTTTATCAGAGGAAAGGGTAATTACGGTGTTGGAGGTGTAAACGCTTGGGCAGGCATCACGTTAGACGGACACACACCTTTGCATATTTTTGATAAAGGATCCCTGACTGCTATGAGTTATAGAGAGGGATCATTTTCGTCATTAGTATTAATGACTTTCGACTTTTCAGGGACGCAGTTGGTACTGGGTTCATGTTAACAGACCACAACATTCGTCCACATAGGCCTCAGCTGATCTACGATTATCTGGAATATAAGAATATTCGCCACGTCCACTATGTCGTCATGCTCTTCGACCTGCCTGCCATGAGAGGAAACCATACCTCATATTAGACACATTTTCATTTCTATATCACAACGCGGATTTTGGACATCCCTTCACTATGAGCTTTACTGATAATCATGCACACATAAAATAACTTTTGAATGGTACAAATCTCTTTCTGTGTTATAAATGCATATTCATAACAAATTTCATTAAAAATCCGTCCACTAACTTTTCAGAAAGTCAGCATAATTTGGAAATTCTCTTAATTTTGTACATGAGTGCAGTTAATAAGTACGCGATACAATTGTTTTTCTAACAAGCTGATGTTCTACGGCTAATCATTTTTGAGTTACGTGAGATATAAACATACACGTACGTATGTACGTACACAAGTAACAAACAAAATCCTTTTGGATCCGTTTTATAGTCAGTTTTGGAAAATATAGTCTTTTATTCTGTCCGCAGTACTGAAGTCACGCAAAAATTCGTACAAATTGATTCCGGAACGGTCAAAGCGGATATTTCTGAAATATCATATCGGAATTTTTTCGCAACTTTGAAAATGATAATATGATCTACTGAAATATGAAACCAAAATCTTCCTTTAATTCGTACATTGAAGTAAAATAAAATGATGCAACTAACACAATATGTAGTTTGTTAGAATCTTTTAATCTTTCACACAAACAGTAAAAAAGCAAGTTAAATGTTTTTCTTTCTTAAACAACATACTAAAACTCTCTCACATAGACACTAAAAAACATTTAAAATTTTTATCTGGTATTTATTATCACATTAAAATCAAGTGGCATTTTCAGCTTTATCTCATAATGCTGAATGACTGATTTTTTGAAAAAGGGACAAAATTATAATTGTACATAAATCACATGAAAAAAGAAATCATTTCGGCAATTTTTATCCTTTTTAAAACTTTATGATACCAATCAGATATTAATGGGACATGGACATATCCAACCGTTGAACACCTTATCCAGTTCGACAGCTGTAGCAATGGTCAAACGATCTTGTAATGGCAGGCTGATGGCTTGAATACCAATAGGTACTCCATCATACAATCCGGCTGGAATCTGTGTCGCTGGGTAGCCTAAAATATTGAAGATACTGGTGTATCCGATGTTCTGGAATTTAGGAATAGTCATAAGGTAATGCGGTGGTAGTTCTGGATGAGTAGGTAGCAAAAAGATTGCATCACCTTGCAACAGTTCTTCAAATTTCGCTTTCAGGTCATTAAATTTCTCCAGGCACTTGTAATAACATTTATTCTTCTCCTGAATTCCAGTCATTCCATAAAAAATGGCTGGCAATGTATGGTTTGAACAACGGAAAAGACTTTTAAATAACTCCCAGCACAAGTTAATGCTCGAATCTTCGCCAGCAAGCATACTGTTAAACGAAAGTCCTCCGCATTCCAGTAACTTGTTTTCCCAAATCTTGAAACTGTCTTCTAGTTCCTTAATGTTCACTTTTGTAACAGTTATGTCATATTCTTCTTCAAAATGCTTTGCAGCCTAAAATTGAAATGTAAATAATTTAATAGTAAAAAAATTAATATTTTCATGGTGAGTTTAAAAATCTGAAACAATATCTGTATTAATATAATGTTGAATTGTTATGCATTTGAGTAATTTCAAATATTCGATAAAGGTGAAAAGTCGTTGAAATTTAAGAAACATTTTACAACGTTCATCCACCATCATCTGTTTTCGATAAAAACATGATCAGGTATTACCTCTTTCAAAAAGCTGTTTTAAACCTTTAACTTTCTTTTTGGATTCAAAACTTATTATTTTGGAAAAGAGAGAAGGAAAAATTTTGAAACAGCCTCTATATAAACATTTGGTTATCTATAATTTTTAACTTGATTCATGGAGTGATAAAACAAGTGGTTGCTTACGGGTGCTAACGTGGTTAATATTTTCCCCATCTTCAATTGAAAAAAAAATTTCTAATTTACACTTAGGAAAGAAAAATGTGCTGTCAGATTTTAACTAAAAAATTGGCATTTCTTGCAGCGTTAGTCCTTTAGAAACTATTTTAATAAAAAACATTATATACAGTTACGCTAATTATTCACTATTAAATTATACACAGCTTTTGCTATACTTCATTTATACTCATTTTCTCCAATCTTTCTAACTTAATTAATCGATCTTTCGAGAAAAGTTAAAAATCGCATTAAAAACTGCAAATTTTATAATTAAATACCTCGGCCAATTTTTATCGTACAAGAATCACACTTCTCTTAATTTTATTTTTTCATAACGACTATAAAACTTTTCCAGATACAAGCACAGGAACCTGGAGACCGCGTTAAAAGTTAGATTTCGTTACTTGTCGAAAATTAATTTTTTAAAATTTGAAATTGCCAAAACATTAATATTTTCGTCATTTAAAACATTTTTGTAATTAGAAGTAAGTGACTACGACCAACGATTGAGAAAATAAACGCTGAATAAGAGACTGGGCGTATATACTATACACTGAAGTGACAAAAGTCATGGGATACCTCCTAATATTTTGTCGGTCCTCCTTTTGCCCGGCGAAGTGCAGCAACTTGACGTGGCATGGACTCAACAAGTCGTTGGAAGTCCCCTGCAGGAATATTGAGCCATGCTGCCTCTATAGACGTCCATAATTGTGGAAGTGTTGACGGCGCAGGTTTTTGGGCACGAACTGACCTCTCGATGATGTCCCATAAATGTTCGATGGGATTCATGTCGGGCGATCTAGGTGGCCAGATCATTCGCTGGAATTGTCCATAATGTTCATCTAACCAATCGCGAACAATTGTGGCCCGGTGACATGGCGCATTGTCATCCATAAAAATCCCATCATTGTTTGAGTACGTGAAGTCCATGAATGGCTGTAAGTGATCTCCAAGTAGCTGAAGGTATCCATTTCCAATCAATGATCGGTTCAGTTGCACCATAGGACGAGTCCATGCCATGTAAAAACAGCCCAGACCATTATGGAACCACCACTAGCTTGAACAGTGCCTTGTTGACAACTTGGGTCCATGGCTTAGTGGAGTCTGCGCCACACTCGAACCCTACCATCAGCTCTTCCCGACTGAAATCGTGACTCATCTAACCAAGCCACGGTTTTCCATTCGTTTAGAGACCAACCGATTTGCTCACGAGCCCACGAGAGTCGCTGCAGGCGATGTCGTGCTGTCAGTAAAGGCACTCGAGTCGGTCTTCTGCTGGCATAGCCCAAGGAAGACAAATTTCGCCGCACTGTCCTATCGGACACGTCCCTCGTACGTCCCACATTGATTTCTGCGGTTATTTGACGCAGTGTTGCTTGTCTGTGAACATTGACAACTCTACGCAGACGTCGCTGGTCTCGGTCGTTAAGTGCAGGTAGTCGGCCACTGCGCTGTCCATGGTGGGATATTATGCCTGAAATTAGATACTCTCGGCACACTCTTGACACTGTGGGTCTCGGAATGTTGAATTCCCTAACGATATCCGAAATGGAATGACCCATGCGTCTAGCTCCAACTACCATTCCGTGTTCAAAGTCTGTTAATTCTCGTCGTGCGGCCATAATCACGTCAAAGCCTCTTCACATGAATAACTTGAACACAAATGAAAGCCCTGCATTTACACATTTTACACTTCGCATTTATACATTTTCTACGCGATACTACTGCCATCTGTATATTTGCATATTGCTATCCCCTGACTTTTGTCACTTCAGTGTATATATATGTAAGATGGCATCATCGATAATAATCGGATGACGCTGCAAGCTGTGAAAACAAATCTTTTTTCTTTCCGGTGAGAGAACACAGACGATTACAGATTAAGACGATGGGTGTCCGCCGATAACATCGCGGCAAAAACATCGCGGACGAAAACTTCGAGGAGAAAACAACGCAAGGCGAAAACGTCGTGCTACAAAACATCGTGGGAGAAAACATCGCAAAGAGAAAACATCGCAGTTCTAAAACATCGTGGTACAAAACATCGTCGTCGAAAATAAAGCGGTTCAAAAACTTCGCAATTTAAAAACATCGTCGTCGAAAATGTCGTGATAAAAAATAAAGTATCTACAAATCATCGCATGACGATAGCATCGCAGACATACTTTTTTCAGGCTTTAGTAACTTTAAATGGATATTCCCATAATGATTTGTGAGAGCAAGATGGAAAGAAGGATAATTTTTACTTTCACATTTTTTTATTAACTAATAAATTTTTGCTGAGAAAATAAGAAGGAAACTTAAGCATAGCAAATTATTGCAACTTATAGCACTTAATAGAATTTTAAACTGACATATTTAATTAACAAATGCCATTAATAAATCATTTTTATAAAGTTTTTACTGGTAATTTTTCATGAAAAGTATAATCTATAAGTTGCATTTAATTTTCTATTCTTAAGTTTCCTTCTTACATTTTCAGCAAAAATTTATTAATTAATAAAAAAATGTGAAAGTAAAAATTATCCTTTTTTACATCTTACGCTCACAAATCATTATGGGAATATCTATTTACAGTTATTATAGCCTGCAAAAAAGCATGTCTGCGGTGTTATCGTCACGCGATGATTTGTAGATACTTTATTTTTTACCACGATATTTTCCACAACGATGTTTTAGAACTGCGATGTTTTCTCTTTGCGATGTTTTCTCCCACGGATGTTTTGTAGCACGAAGTTTTCGCCTTGCGTTGTTTTCTCCGCGACGTTTTCGGCCGCGGTGTTTTTGTCGCGATGTTTTCGGCTGTAACCAGACGATGACGCGATTGAAAGATGTTTGCATGTGGAAGACGGTTACTTCTCTTCATCTGTAAATAATCTCATCTTTTTCCTTCTACGCATGTAATCATTGGTGCTACTTTGGTAGACGGTTGCACGGATTTTGGCGATTTTTCTTTTGGCGAGTAATACAACTTATGGTAAACCCATTGCTGGACAAGTTATTTATGGTAACCGATACTTTGTTGTCATTTTATCTAAAAAATAATGCGTTTTATTATGCATAAATTCAGTGTTATAAATATTATTTATGGCTTCTAAATATTAAAAATCAATTTAATTTTACATTTTTATTTGAAATAAAAATTTTATTGTTTATGATATTTTATGAAATTTTATTTTGTGGATGATGTAATCAATGACGTCACCTTATTTTAAAAGCAATTGAGTTTTAATATCTATAAATTTAATCTAATGTTTTAAACATTATTTTATGGCTGTTAAATATTAACAATGCAATTTAATTTTGCATTTTTTTTTTGAAAAATGATTTTATTATGAATGATTATTTAAATAATTTTAATTCTATGCGTGATGTATCAGCTTCCTGATTGGTTACTGAATATTTGTGCATTACCGCGCCATTTTAAAATTTTATTATTCATCTCTTCGAATTCCTTCAGATTTCAAAGCGAATGGATATGTCCGTTGTCGAAGATTGAATGTTGTTATTGGTAATTACCAAGAATTATTGGGTATCGGAATCAAAAAATTGCCTCTTTGAGACCTATCCTTATTTTGGCCAACCTGTCTTTCCTAATCATAGATTTATTTATAAATTGTTAACAACCGAATCAGAGGAAATTTATTTTAAATTTTTGGAGGAAACCTCAGCTAATTGCTTCTTCAATGAAGTGCCAGAAATGTAGATCACAGATGAAGATGCTTAAAAGAGATGATTTAATTATGATTCCGATTTTTTATGTGGTACTTATCAATAATACGACAGGTAAAATGACTTAAAAAAATGTAAGTACATATTTTTCTTTTATTCTTTATAATTGTATACTTCAATTTTATTAAAAAATTAATACTTTGCTTTCAAAAATTCGCCGAGATAATTTATTGCCACATATGTTTTAATGTTAAATGATTATATCCTCTATATAAATTTATTTTAAAGTATTTGAATTTAACTAATATTCTAATTCCTTTTAAACGTTAATATGATGTTTTTAATTCGATATTCAATTTAAGTACTATTTTAATCCAATTAAATGTTGGCGCAATGTTGTTTTTATAGTGGTGTTTTTATTCTATTATATGAAAGTAATAATTTAACCTTACTTTAGCATTTTATACTTTTAGTAAATGTATTTATTTACATTTGCCAGCCATCTTAAAAACAACGTTTTCAACAGAAAATTAATCCATTATTTTTAACGATATTTATTTTTTTTAAAGTTTCGAATACTTTACTATGCGTAAAATACGTAAAAACAGCATTTTTCAAGATGGCTGACGACTATAAAAACCTCGCCAACAATTGCGCCAATATAAATCGCCAAAAATCCGTGCAACCGTCTACCAAAGTAGTACCTAATCATTTTGTAGTTTGTAACAGCTATTCATGTTTCCATTAAATATTCAAGTTATTTGTAAATTGGACTAGTTTATTAGTTCCTAGACAGCCACCTCGGAAGTAGGTTCACAGATATCATACTCAAGTACTGATCCTATTTATATATGATGTAGTTTTTGCGGAAAATGAAACTAATTCACATCTTAGTCGTAGCCAAGAAAAGTTACATCGTAGATCAGACCTGGAGGGAAAATAAGAACTGGTTTGATGGTTAAAACATCATTTTTATTTTAAACAGAAACAGTCCTTCAGAAATAGGGGTACTAAATTCGCCCCAGAATTTCTATATATGCAGTTTACATTCTAGATAACAGAAGAAGTTTAGCGATGAGACGTGACTTTTGGAAATTTTTTTAAAGTTTAAATCTTAGTGAATGCTTAAGAATTGCTATAAAACTTTGGAAAGCAAAATGTGGAGAATGTACTAAATTTAATTAATAAAACTCAGTTTTTCAATACCTTTTTATTCAAAATTACCAAAGAGACAAAACGCGATCACGTTCCATTTAGTTATTTTATGGAAGGAGACTAATTCCCCTTGAAAAGAAGATTGTCCTATGGAATCATCAATAATTTTTCTTATATTTTTATTAGTTGAGTTTTATTAATTAAATTTAATACATTTTCCAAATTTTGCTTTCCAGATTTTTACAGCACTTCTTAAGCATTTGGTAAGATATTAGATTAGAATTTACACTTCGTTTGTTAAAAGGTAATTAAAATTAATATTAATAATTTAAATTTACATTTATAATCTTAGCAACGATAGCTCAGGATTTCACTCTGTAGGTCCGTTTTATCTTATTTGCATAAAGTTTGCATTTATATATTTTTGTACTGCCGATTGCAATAAAAAAAGGAACAACTAGATATTACAGCAGTCCCATACAAAATATTTAAATGCTCTACGGCTAATTGTTTTTGAATTATGCGAGACACATTCATACGGAATTACGTACGTACGTACAGAAGTTAAGAAAAAATCCCTTTTGAACAGACTTTAAATCAATTTTACAGTCCGTTTTTAAAAACAGTCTTTTATTCTGCCCGCAAATTCGTCCAAATAGATTCAAGAACAGTTAAAATGGATATTTCCTTTGAAATATGATATCCGAAATTTTGCATGATTACAATATTTCCTTTACTTCGTACAAAGAAGAGTAAAAAGCAAAACTGCATAAATATTTATACAAAATATTTCTTTATTCTAGGACAATATTTGATTCCATGGGAAATTAATACTCTTTGTGTGTGTGTGTGTTACGAAGTTTAGTGGGCATTTTTACACGAAGTGGTAGTGGGCATTTACACGAAGTAGTAGTGGGTATTTTACACGAAGTGGTAGTGGGCATTTTTACTGGGAGAAAAATCTGTCTATAATTTATTTATCTTAGATTTTCTTCATTAAAACTTTTTATTCGATACAAAACAGAATTCTAGAATTCTAGCTTTATCATCTGGGTATGTTTCTAACTTATCATCAGCTTTAATATTTTGCTGTTTATTACTTTTAGTGCGCAATCTATGTTCTTTAAAAAATTAATTTAATTCCTGATATGAATAAGATTTTTATGCATGGTTTTTTTACATTAGTTTGTGAAAGAAAAATAAATAAAAAGAGAGGAGATAAAATTTCAAGGAAATAAATTTTTGTTTGCTACGCTTAGGTAAAAGTGTACACATACCTTTCTGACTGCTGCTTTAATTGGTGAAATAGCAGAATTCAGAAGTCCTGGAAATTCTTCCATATAGTACACTTTGACACTACGGAAATTCACCTAAAATAAAAATAAATATGATCAATATCAAAGTAACAAATCTTACTTCTGGAAATTACTTTGTAACTTTTAAATACTTTATTATGTGAAACAAGAATGGAAATAAATAACATAATGCTATGAAGTTTCTATACATGTAAATTGTAATAACTCTTGTATGATGTTACAATGAAAAGCCTCAGGAATATCAAGCATCGCCGGAAAAAAAGGTTTACAGGGTAAGTCTATTTAACATTGAGGTAAATTAGCGCCAAGCTCGCGATAGTTTTAGCAACTAATTTTTGTTGCCACAAGTGGGGAGAAATCTTTAAAAGTCACCAAATTTGGCGACCATTTAGCGATATTTTGGTTCTATACCTATGTAACTGTAACCGGTCCGATCTCTATGTATTAATTGTATCCGGCCCTGTGTAACTGTAACTGTGTATACCTTGCAGTAATTTCGAGAAATTAAAGGTACTGGAAATTTCTAGGAGGACTGCGCAAAACTATACAAGATCGGAGATAACATCATTTTTCAGTTTAGCTCAGAGTATTGAAAGATCACTGTGCGAATTTACGCATTTCAGCCTTTTTATATTGTCTTTTGTTTAACGTTTTATTATTGGCTCACCACCTAATTAATGATCTCAAGGACCAAAGATCCACACTTTGACTTCTATAGGGTATTGTATCAAGTTTCTTACCCTACATCATCAAAATGTTAGAAATTGCTGCAACTGCGACAGTTCCGAAAATATGTAAAATTTTATGTCCAAATGAAATTCCAAACATATTTGAGTTTAATAAACGGCGACTTACGTATTGCAAACTGTGATATCAGTTTTAAACTTTTCAAGTAAAATAATAGCGCTAGTAATTAACTTATTAACTAATCCTAAAATAATAATTAAAAATTAATTCTAAAATTTAACTATTTACATAATTTCTATATTCATTTAATTTTTTAGAAGAATATTTTTATAATTACTTTTTACATTTTTGATGAAATTTTATTTCTTACAAACAGCTGTTCTATCTGTGTTTGTTTCATGTTGTTCAGCAACTTTTAGTTCAAAAAATTTTTCTCAGAACGTTCAGTGCTTTTCTAGATACGATGAACGATAGCATATTATCCCTTTTTTCTGTAACACTTTTGCTGGTAATTTCTACAGTTCTTTTAACCTTTTCGTAGTCAGTTTTTATGCACGTTCTCTCAATATTGTTCTGAACTGACGTATATTCTAAACATAAACCCTCATAACTTCCCTCTTTAATATCTGAAACATTAGCTATAGTTTAGGATTCTTCTGAGGCTTCTCTTACATGAAAAGTCATATTTTTGAAAAACGTTTTTAACTCATCTTAAGATTTTAATCCCTGCATTGACTATAAAATGCATGGCTTCTAGCATAGATATCTACTTACTTATCTCCTCAGAAGTGCTTGCATTTTCACAAAATTCAATTATGTTTATTATTTATTGAACATCTTTTCTGTGATACAATTGAAAACTTTTATAACACCCTAAAGTTAAAGGCTGAACTTTAGAATTTGTGCTTTAAGTCTTTTAGCGAGGCATTTCGACACATTACAAGTTAAGCTCATAGCAAATTAAAAAAAAAATGCTTCTTCTATTGATTGATTCATATTTACGTTTCTAACCAGCAGAAAGATTGTCATTTGTCTGTTTAGTCGATCTGCCACTTCGTGATTACAAACATGAACAATGCTTTCCTTCCTTTTCCTTCAGTGCACAGTTAGTAATTCGTTTCTGTTCGAATCTACTTAATGTATGGTGATGCTCAGAAGCATTTCATTTTTATCACTCGGTTATAGTGTCTAGATAGGACTCTTTTTGTTAACCGTAAGATATGAAAGTTCTACCCTTCTGAAGTCTATTGTGAACAAAGAACTCTTAAAGCAGTGTCTTAATGATACAGAGACCGGGAGAAAGAAATTTTCGGTCAAACACATTTTATTGAATCACTGTGTACCTGAATGATGAAGCCACGGTCCACAATACATTAAATAGATTAACTAAGAAAATATACAAGTAGGATATTCTGGTACTACAAAATCCGTCTTTTGCTGATCTGAGTTTAATAAACGGGGTTTTTCTATTGAATAATATGCCCTTGATTTGGTTCCTGGAAATTTTAACGTAAGAAGTGGCTGAGTTTATTAATTACCGTTTATTAACTAACTTTAACTAACTTTAAGCGTTTAGTTATTAACTAACTTTAAGCGGCGAGTACTGTATATGTAATACTTTTTGCACAAATTGTGACTATAATAATAAACGAATCATCAAACCAAGTTTCTCTCTACCCTCAGCCAATGGGCTTCCCCCTCTCTATTCCATTCTCTGATTTCTCTTTCGTAGAGAAATACTTCACCCAAATCTCTTAAAATGCTGCGCCTTGTAAGCTAGAAATAAAATCGGATAGAATGCACTTCGTGCAGTATTCACAGCAATAATTTCGTCAAGTTTTGATGGCAAAGGCGAAAGCATGCCATCATTTGAAATATAGATTAGGTGAGCGTACCTGTAAGTACAGAATTATAACACTAGCAGACAACCTATAGAATTCTACTGACGTAATTTCAATATCCTTGCATTTGATCATATAGGATCCGTGCTACCGTGCTTTAAAAACTTCAGGAAATTCAGCTAAATTAATAAAGTTTGTAAACGATTGTATCAGATATTCAAATGATCTCCTTTTCTTCAAGCCTATTTTAATTTTTTAAATAAAGCTATCAGGGAAATAATTTGAAGTAAATATATTTAGCAGTCCTATAAAGAAAGACAACCCGAGACAGTGCATTTTAGAGTAGTCGTTTGTAATCCAGTTACTTTTCTAGATATTTCTTTCAGAAGTTTTTATTTCCGTCTACAGAATAAAAGAAGTATTGTAATTGCGAAAAATTTCTGGTAACATATTTAATCAACGGAAATATTCCTTTTGACAGTTCCCGAATCCATTTGGACGATTTTGCTGCGTGACGAATTTTTCGTGTGGACAGAATAAAGGACTCTTTTTTTCAAACGAATTGTAAAATGGATTCCAAAGGGATTTTTTGTGACGTCTGTATGTACGTACTACGTATGCATATACAGAAGCCCCCTTCGAGTTCTTCTTCGAGGGATCAGTAAACTGCTGGGGGAAAATCACAACTAACTTGATGGTTAAAACGTGACTTTTATTTTAAACACCAAAAATTCTTCAGAAATACATTTTTGCTTAATTGGTACAATACTAAGGGGGCTAAATGTGCTCCATAATTTTGTATAAGCAGCTTGCATTTTAAATAGTATAAAAATACAGGCAAGTGAGAGATGTGGCTTATTCAGACAGCAGCAAGCAAAAACGTAAAGCGTATCAAGCAGCTGAAGTAATTTATAATCTCGGTTCCTTTATTTGAGTTCTGGACAGCTATTGGACAAACGTCTGCAATACAGTTACTGCAGAGAAGATGCAGGCGCCTTGAAGGGGGCTGTGCTTTAACTGAAAATAAGAAATTTAAATGTCTATTGCCAGCTGGTTAAATTTAATTTAATTTGTCAATAAATGCCCGTTATGTTTTTCTATACATATGTTTGGTATTGCAGACGGCAATAAAAAAGGAAGTGCGCAATTAGATATTATAGTAGTCCTATATACAAAACTTTTAATGTTCTACGATTGCTCATTTTTGAGTCAAGCGAGATATGTACATACGCACGTACGTACATGCGGACAAACATACAGACGTCACAAAAAAAATCCTCTTTGAGTTCATTTTAAATACATTTTACAATCCGTTTTGGAAGAGATGGTTCTTTCCAGATGTCACGCAAAAGAATCTTCCAAATGGATTCGGGAACAGTCAAAACGCATATTCCCGTTGAAATATGATAACCGAAATTTTTCGAGATTACAATATTTCCTTCACTTCCTAGAAGGAAGTAAATATAGGATTTTGTCAACTATTAAGGATTAACATTGTTAAAAACTCTTTCAGGACGGGCATCCCATATACGCATTCCCTAAGAACGTCTCTTACAACCGGGCGTCCCATACACGCATCAGTAAAGATCGCATTCAGAGGAAGGGTGAAGCGTATACTCATTTTAAGGTGGAACGTTTTCCTGAAGGCCACTAGATGGCATCTTGTGTTCATTACTTTTGAAATGAACACAGTTTTAGTTTCCTGACCTTGAGTTTGATATATTCTGCTTGACTTATTTTACTCATCAGCTGTTCGAGGGGAGAGGGGGGCGGAGGGAAAGCGTAAACAGAGGTGGGCTCTTTAAATCGCTGTGTGCTAATGAAAACATTCTCGTATCTGATTTATATCCAATTCCTTTTTTTATTCTCTTTTTTCCTATGCTATGTACGGTCTTTTAGGGTTACTGTGCGGAGTTTTTTTACGTTTTGCATTGCCTTCAGATATATTTCCGTTCCTTCTTTTTTTATTTAGGAAAGCCTCACCTCCAGTCTATTATGGCGGGAAGACGCTATTTGTCAGAGGAAGAATACCCTCGTATGGTTAGTGAACCATTTACTAACGCAAATGAGAGTACTGATTCATTTTCTAAGTTAGTTTCTAAGTTTCTAAAAGTTAAAAAGTGATACTTCTTTGTGCTTCGAGATTTACCACACTCGTTTTCATTTTAAATTGTGTTACTTCTTACTGTAAATAGTCTTTATTGTGTTTCTTTTATTAATTTTAAACTTATTGATGGATTTTATCAATTGAAACTTTGGAATAATTTGAATAGCGCTTCCGAAAATTATTTTAGAAGATCAGCAATTTTTTAAGTATATTTTCATGTAAAATAAAGAAAAAAATGTTTTAAGGGCTAATTTTAACATATATAATAAGAGCTCAAGTAATAATCTAAAATGATACCAAAAATTACGATGCTAGAAGCGAAACTTTTGTTCTTCTGATTTTTGTTATAAAATTAGGCTTAGCGATGCAAAACCTCCGTCCTGTACGATGACTGCCTTCGATTCTCTTTTGTCCCGCACGAGCGTCTTAAAGATGCGCCTTCGCGAAAAGGTTAATTAACTTATGATTACTATAAGAGTGAATCAGTCAGTTAATTTGTGAACAATAAATGAATATTTATTAAGAATTTGAACAATGACATAAATAAAATGGAATCATTCTACTACATGAACGGTTGTAATATTTAAAAGTTACCTTTTCATCGAGTCGAAGTCTTCGATCATTCTCTGACAGCACTTTAACTAGAGGCAAAAGATCTTTAACGTATCGGCACATTGGACCCGTGCTGACGTAATCCTCGAATTGTTCTCCAGCTTCAGGCCAGTGTCCCTTGTTCGAAATCACACCTGACAGAAGATAAACAGGTAGGAAATTCATTGATGAGAAAATGAAAAGGTCTATTGAATTATCATATATCAAGTGAAGATAACAGTATCCCAACATATGTAACAGATGCTCGGCAATTCGAAATATAATTATTAAAATTTGAATTTTATCTGAGGTTAACTGGAGAGATTTACGATGTTCAAAGGAAATGTTGCTATCATTTTCTTCTTTTAAAGGTAAGCCTGAAATTTTCTTTTTGAAAATGGAAAGCTAAATTCTATTAAATAAATAAATAAATAATTTTAGTTGCTTTTTAACTGCGGTTTTTACTTTACCCCGCCCAAAGTTTTTAGGAAAACTTATTCAGTTGTTGATTTAGATTCCTTTAAATCCTTCTACATTCGCAGTTTCAGTCGAAGTTTTCACAAGTTTCAAAATTCTAATCACTTAGTTCTAATTTTTATTATGTCGATTAATGGTACCACATCTACTCCATCTTTGGCCCTGCCTTTTCATTTGAGGTCTATTGTTTATTTGGCTTTATGCTCCATCTTTAAGACGAAACGTTTTTTGCTTTTTAAAGAACAAGGATCTATGCCAATCTTCCTTGAAATTGATAGAGCTTTATACAAAATCTATACCAACCAAAGGAGTGTTTTACACTATTTGATATAATATTTATAATTTCATTTAAATTTGTCATAATGTGCATTTTCTAGTAATTTTTTTAATTTTTATTTCCGTTCAATTTACAAGAAATTTTTACCTTTCTTACCGAATGTTTTCGTGATGTAACTGGAAGCACATCTGGCTAAAAATAGAAAAGTTCGAATCCCGACGAGAGCGAAGCTGATTTTTCACCTTTTATGGTTCCAAATAATTTCAGAAAGGCTCCGCAACTGGCGCACGAACTAAAAAATGTGGTGGACAATAATCCTTCACCATCTAGATTTGGCGACTCCTAACTGACCTTTAAGAGGGAGAGATTGTGAGAAATTTTCTCCTACCTTACCTCGTGTTTTCATATGTAACTGGAAGCATGTCCAGGTAGGAATCGAAAGATACGGAGCCCGAATCTAGGCCAGGACAGCGCTAAATTTTCTTGTTTCCCGCATCGATAAAGTACTAATGACTATACACGTTTCTATTTATAACTATAAGGTAATTTTTATTATTTAACAGTATGTCTATATATCCATTTCATCATTACAGACATGGTTGAATATAAATTTATATAATAATTTTAAATCAAATGCTTCAGTTCAATGCTGAACAGTTTGATCAATGCTGGTTTAAGCATTAATTTAATAGTCAGCTTTAACCACTTCACTGTTTACCCCGAGAAGGACTCCTCCGCTCGAAATGCTTCTTCAGTGTAACGGCAAACTCTCGTCGGGGTGAAATGTGGGCTGGAATGTGACCCCGAGATAGATTCGTCGCATAGTATTTTCCCAACCAACCCCCCACCCCCAGAATGAATGGAAGATGAAAAAAATCTGATGTGTACACCACATGACTTCCCTGTACGGAAAATGAAATTAGACGCATTTTTTCTTGCATTTCATTAAAACTTATTGGATTGAATTAAACCTACTTCGCCGATAGCGGATAAACCACATGCACTCTTTAAAATTCACTATATTTGCTTACCATAGCGACTATCTGGCGCTAGATTCACTTAACAGTCTTATATTTCGTCCATATTATAACTCAGAATGCACAAAATTAATATCACTTGAAGAATTATCTAATCGTTGCACATGTTCTATTCAAATACTGTAATAAATCTAGAACGATGTATAGAAGAAATTAAGCAAACAAAACAAAAAAGGAAAGTGTTTCACTGACGATTCAGTATTTCTGATTCAATTAATTCAGTTCTCACATCGCGACAAGTCAAAAATACATAAAAACTCAAAATATCTATATTAAAAATTACGAAGTAAATCTTAAACACGTATTTCCTTGAAAAAATTCCAGAAAGGATTAAGCATGATTTCATTTACAATAATAAATGAAGGCGTTATCTTTGTTGTTGCAAAGCTTAGTCTCTCTAGATTGGCAACAAATCCACTATTCTGCTGTTTCAAATGTAAACAATCAATGGCCGCGATAAAAAAAAAGGCTTAGCGGCACTTAAACAACTTTAAAATTGTTGATAATTCTAAACATATTGCCTACAGATTTACTAAAGACATAAAAACCTTAACCAGAAGATAAGAACAACATAATTCAATAATTTTTAAAGCAAAAAAATGCACAATTTACAAACATATAAGAGTAAAGAAATTGAGATCACTGAGCCGGGTAATAGCGTTGATACATATATAAATATATTTATATCCGTTTTGTGCGGCCGATTGCAACCAAAATACGAGGTACACATCTACATGTTATAGAATTCCTATATGCAAAGTTTCAACGTTCTGAGGCTACTCTTTCTTGAGTTATGCGAGATACATACGTACGTACGTACATACAGACACCACGAAAAATTCTCCTCAGAATTCATTTTAAAGCAGTTTTATAATTTTTTTGGAGGAAACGAGTCTTTTATTTTGTCCTTACGTACGGATGTCACACAAAAACATCGTTAAATTGCATTGGATAGCGGTCAAAATGAATATTTTCGTTGAAATATGCTGTCTGAATCTTTTCGCGATTACTATACTTCCTTTTTACTTCGTACAAGGAAGTAAGAAAAGGTGACCGATGGCTTATTTGTCAGGCTCTTTCCACACGGCAGGGTTGCATCAGGATAACAGCGGAACTGTATCAGGAAAAGCAAAGGACCACCGAGTGCATACTCCCTTAACACACGTCTCTTGGGATCCACAACAACCAAAGGACCTCTAGCAACAACTTCCTCCCTTCTATTAATATCCCACCTCTTGAAGGTTTGTGTCCATAGATGCCACAGAATGAAGATGGGATGCGAATGCTTCCTCCCAAGTCGTCCCCAATACCAATAACTCCTCCAGCTGCTGCAATGATGGTCGCTTCACCACCTAAAAAGAAACAAGAGAATATAAAGCTGATAAAAACAGAAAATCTTATTTACGAAAACAGACACATTATTACTGGAATGACAGAAGTTACTGTTTACCAACAGTTAACTGGAATAACGAGACACTTCAATTTAAAAATGTGTTTCAGGGTCTAATAAGATCAGCTGCTTCATGTGGAACTAAATGGGATGTCTCGGTTATAATTACAGAGTTCCGTCAAAAGAACCTCAACAGAAACTGATTGCTTCTTGCATGCTGACAGTATATGGAATCCATTTCTTAGTATCCTCATGGTTTCTTAAATGAAAATCGATATGTCTGCTGATTTGTCAAGGATGGCATTTAATTCTTGAAAAGGACTGTAGAGCTTAGAGAGTCATTAGGTTATTTTGAAGCAGGAGATGAGAAAAATGTGCTATGTCCTCGCAGGGACACGAACCTAGACCTTTCAAATACGCGCCGAGTGTGCTACCGTTACGAAGACGTGCTGGAATCTGTCTCATGTAAGAGATATAAGATATGAGCACAGTACAAATCTTTACAGAATCAGTGTGTATTACTATTAAATGTAATTATTATTAGTGTGTAACACTATTAAATGTAATTATTATGTGTGTATTACTCAGCATTACTATTAAATGTCAGGTAATTTATTTCAGTGTGTCCATAGCTTTGTTCAGTCGATTCGATGCTACCAATCTGGATAGCCTTTGATTTCGAGTTTGTTTTTCATTTCAGCATCAACAACGACTACTGGCAACCTTTGTTTGTTGGAAATTCTAATGTTACTATTCAGAGATGTTACCTAAACATCTAAATGCATTATCACATCAAAATAGAGGATTCGGTCTTTCTGGCAACTATTATCCAACTCTGGTGAAATGATGAAAATTATTCTGCGAAGAATTATAAATACAATTTTTCTATTTCGTACCATTAGTCAAGTATATGGTCTTTGGTTATGTCCGGGTTATGTCCATCTTGTGCTTGATGAAAAGTAGAAAACATATTGCAGTCTGTTACATATTCGCTTCTGGAATATCAGTTTAGTTTCTATGCAATCGCTACCGTGGTCGATTAACCATGGTGGTCACTTTGCAACATTCGTTTTGATTTAGACAGGAAAAAATTCAGAAAGGGTTCTTTGGGATTACGCCCAAGCTTAGTTTTTTTCCGAAACTGCTTTGTTAAAAAAAAAAAAAAACGCAATTTGCTTGCAAAAGTTGTAGTTACCAATCTCACTTGTCTGGCAATGGTGAGCAGAAGCCCAAGATATATGACATTGTCACATGTATAAAATTCATATGACATATCTTGAAAGGACACTGTTCTGAGCGATTTATTATAAGCGCGTTATTGTTTTTAGAACAGAAAGGAGAAATAAGCATTTAAAAAATGGCAAATATTGCAAATTAAAGTTAGAATTTTATTTTACATATTCTTTACCTCAGTGCTCCGCAACCGGTGTGCTGCGGCGCACTGGTGTGCCATAAGTAGGATATAGGTGTGCCGCAATCAAATACATGTATTGGACATTTTGCAATTTTTTATCATGTATTTAATACACAATGACATTTTTTTCTTAATAATGTCTATTTTAAATGTTTTTATATATTTCACTGTTGTGTGGTTGTGTGTGTGATTGTAAGTGTGTCAGCATTTGAATTTTTTTTCGGCACTTCCTTGATAACTCGGAACTCTTTGGTGTGCCACGAAATTCCAGAAAGATTTTTGTGCGTCGCAGGTGAGAAAAGGTTGCGGAGCACTGCTTTACCTTACATACACAAGATGATTAAAAATTATGTGGCTAAAGTGTAAGGTAATTAGAGGGAATCAAAAAAATCAGATTCCGTTATGTAGTGTGTGTACGGAATGCCTCTTTGAGGTAGTAAAGGACGCTGTTGAGATTGGTAAATAATCCTGCTGGCGTAAATCGTTATTTCTATAGAGATTTCGAGAGATTTGCATCGCTACACGAATGCAGAGTTTACTGACATGCATTTTATCTAGAAGGCTTGAATAAAATAGAGCAACTGTTCAAAGAAGTCACAGAGAATTATTATTCAAGAGTACCTTGTTTAAGCAGCTACTTTATATCCGTCCACAGCCCTACAGATGAAAAGCATATTTTTTGCAAGTTCATTTAGCGAGCCCAAGCTCATGTAGCGATGCATACCACTTGAAATCAGTAAGAAAAATGACGATTTACAGAAGCAAAGCTGTTTTACCTATTTCTCAACCGCAATAGGTATTTACCCTGCGCCACTTCAATGCTCAATTTTCGAACTCGTATTCCATATTAAAATCTGCCCATTTCTGTCCCCTCTATTTGCCTTTACATTTTCATCAGATATTTTGAATCACCCTGCATATACACTCATTGCCATAAAGATTTGCGCACCAAGAAAAAAATGTCAGAATGAAACGAAATTTTACATATGTAAGTACTACTTTGATATAAGTAAGTGATTAGAAAATCAAATAAAAAAGGATCATTTATTTCAGAAAAAAGTACACATGAACGGAAGTTTTAGTACTTTGTTGGATCATCTCTAGCGCGAATGCAAGATGCGATACGAGTGGGCATTGAGGCATACAAGTTCCGTATGGTGTCCTAGGACATCTCGTTCCACAATTCCTGTAAACGTGCCTCTAGTTCGGCCAATCTTGTAGGCTGCCCAACCTGCCGTTCCAAATGATTCCAGATATGCTCGATTGATGACAAATCTGGACATCAAGCAGGTTAGGTAAGGGTGTTAATGTGGTGGAGGCAGTCATGTGAGATCCGTGCTGTGTGTGGCCGAGCATTGTCTTGTTGAAAACAGGCTCCTGGAAGCTCTGCCAAGAATGGCAACACATGTGGCTGAAGGATGGCATGGACGCACCACTGTACCACTCAATATTAGAGGTATCATAAGCAATGGCACTAATACCATCATACCAACCGTGGGAACGGTGTGTCGCTGTAAAGCGAAGGCAAGATTGAGGCGTTTCCCACGTGGCCTCCACACACGAACACAATTGTCAGCACTGGTCAAATTGAATCCAGATTCGCCGCAGAAGACGACCTGGTTCCATTCCGTTAAAGTCCAATCCTGTCGTGCGCGACACCACTCCAAACGGAGGCGTCGGTGGGTGGGTGTCATTGGTAGCACACGTAATGGGCGCCGTGATACAAGATGCCCATCAAACCAGGCGGCTTGCGATGGTTCGGGAAGACACAGAGACACAGGGGCGTGCGTGGCGTATGATGTGATGGTCTTCTCGACGACTGGTCTGTCGAGGGCGTCCTGAGACTAGTCTCCGTGTAAAAAACGTCTCTTTTGTCCATTCCAACATTTCCTCACAGTAAAATCAGAACGGTCTACCTGACGAGCTATTTGCCGAGCTGACCACCCAGCTTCCATCATGCCGATGATTCATTCCCTCTCGAACTCTGACAGCTGCTGTTATTGGTTTCGATGGCGGCGTAATGGCATGTCTACCTCAGCGTTTCCTTATAAAAGATTAAATACACTCAAACAAGCTCTGCTTACCAGTTTTATGCTCCAAGAAGAACGAAGTTCAACGCCCTCTAGTGGCATTACGCAATGCGTAATCACGCTGCTCTGATAATCATTTTCATATCTACCCGACATGTATCTTCATGCCAAGTTTCGTTACGATCCCCACAATTATTTCTTGGTGCGCAAATTTTTATGGCAATGAGTGTATATACAGAGAGAGAGAACTTTGGAACTTTGTGGTTATACTGGTCACTGCAGAAAACAATATTCTGCTGTTGCCAGTTCCTGATATAGTCCCATGTAGGGCCTGAAAGCGAAGAATCCTGAATGTAAGGTTCTCCCGTGGAGATGAAAATGTGTGGAGATGAAAGAGAAAGAGAAAAACAGATGCATTCATATATACATACGCACGCACATTCTTCGACACAAAGTATCCATCTTCCGCCCGCAAAAATAAAATTCGTAATAAAACATGATGCAATTGCATACGCATTTATCTCTGCTTTTGGAAAGAGAAAATATTTGTTTTTAATAGACGTTATAAATACATGGAGATAATTAAAGCAAAATTAGGAAGCCGTGATATTACTAATTTTCGCAGGACAAACATCGCGTCGAATCACAAATTTGCAAAAGAAGCATATCAAATGTGCTTACAATATTTACAAATACAGGTGCATATGCACTTTAATATTGCGATTTTTCATTTTTAAAGAAGGAAAATATATCTTTATGTTACTCAGAGCAAGAACTTGTAGGTCAAAAAATAACTTAAATTAACTTTTGATACTACTATTTGGAACAAAATGCCGTTCATTTTTCTCTTTTCTGAAATATTATATTATATATACATTACAGTTTTTCACATTAGCAGAAAACTTTGCAATTACGAGTATCTTTTGTTTATAAAAATAAAGTTTTGAATGCAAAAAAATACAGATGTAAACGACTAAATGCATTTTTGCGATTAAAGATATTTACAGTTTTGAAATATTACACAGGTCAGAATTTTTATTCATGAGTTTCTTGTGAATTTTTATTTAACATTTTTTTGAATTTGTTATTAGAACTTTATTCTTGTAGAACATTTCAATAAAGCGTCTTACTGTAAATTATTGATTGTTGATTTGAAAAATTGCGAATACCAAATAGAAAATCTGTTTTTATTATGTGGATCAAGGAAGATTTTTGAACTTCCAATTTTTTAAATCTTCTAATTGAGATTATCTTCTGCTTAAACACACTTCTTTCCACTACGGTTGAACATATCGGGCATAGCTGCAAGTGTCAACATATTGTTACGAAATATCCAGCCGCGGTAAGATAGCTTCACCGCAAGGCAAGTTTAGGGTTGCCAGAAAATGGCAAGAGAAGTCATGGTTGCCATATTTGGCTAGAGATCGCATATTTGGCGACAATATTGGCGATATGCCATAGACGGATAGAGAGCCTCCAGGAACGAATTCTTACTGGTTTAGCCCAGAATGTTCTCGAACACGAGCCAAAAGCTATATAATGACAAAAACTCCTGCTGGTATGCGGAGAGTCAGTTAGTGTCTCGTCTAGCGAGCTGATAGTCAGTCAGTGAATACCTAGTCTAGTCAGTGAGCTAGTGTCTCGTAGTCTAGTGCCAAGTTGGTCGTCGAGTGTATCGAGAAAGTCTCTTAGTGCATCGCATACATACATTTATGAAAAAATACTTCGCCGAGTTTTATCCTAGAGTATGTTGAGCCAGCACCTCCTGAATACAAGGCCACGGCGCGTTACCCAGGAGGAGGTGTGACGTCAATGTTAGCAGGGATTGCATTTCTTTAACTCTCCCCACTCAGGTATGTGGTGGGTGGATTTTCGAAGTTTTGACGGTCACTCGGTCACTAGGCTTTCATAAGAACAGGTGACATTCTCTTTTATTTTGTAGATATTTTAAGACTATTCCACTTAAATTATATTTATATTATTTGTTCTTCAAATGTTTTATATGGTTTACACTTGCTGTGTACGCAACTGCAAAGGCAACTATCCAAATGGTTCAAAAGTATAGGCTTCCTTTTTTCCGAAAGAGAAACAATTGTTAAACAAACGGATAAATGCGATTCATAGAAAGAATTTCAAGCCAACAAAATTTTCGAAGGTAAGTTGCTTAAAATGAATGCGTTTATACTCATCTGTGCTTAAAAAAGTGCTTCTGTGTTAAATATATTATAATTATCATAAACTAGAGCGAATACATACATTTATAAAAAAGTAAGCGTATTTAATCTTATTGCAAGTATAGTAGTGATTATATGAATATGAGGACTTAATCGTACTATTAATTTAATTTATAGTAGATAGTATTGTTTATCATCATGCTAATCGTTCAAACTGCATTACATGGCATTATGTATTCCCCCTTCACTTACATGTATAGTGCTATATTAATGCAATTTTTATATGTGTATACATTAAAGTTCATGAAATTTTTTTATTATGTTTGATTTTTTAATTTTAATATATTATATATATATATATATATATATATATATATGTTAAATCCTAAAATTCTTCACCCCAAATATATTATTTTAAATTGTATATTTGTATAGCATTTTTGTCGAAGCAATTTTTTTTCCCAAAGAAATCGAATATATTGTCATACATATATACGCATGCATATACATACGTATGGAAATAAAATGTATGGCATATTTCATGACTACAATTTACAGTTCTTCTTTCTAAAGATAGAAATGTAGTCTTTATGAAATATTATGCCATACATTTTTATTTGATGAAATGCAGTCTGTGATAAAAAAAAAAAAAAAAAAAGCAATATTTATTGTTTCCCGTTTACAGACAGTTTTTGAATAATTTTGAATTGACTGTAAAGACAATTTCGATGATTTTCTTCTTTTCCTTTATTGGAACAATCCTTCCTCTTTTAGTTGACTGATTGAAAATAAACATATACATGTTATCTAAAGTATTTCTGTATAAATTGTTTCGAATTGTAATGTATAATTTAGTGCATCCTTAATATTGTTAGTAATTTTATTCGGCAGTAATAATGCAATGATAGTTGTGTTTTTTCATTTGTTGTGTTCTACATTCCAGTTTAGGATTTGTTACATTTGCCTTCCACAATAGTGCTAAATCATGTTATAAAAATTTCCCTGTAAAGATCAGAGGTTTAGCTATTTAGATCTATATCAGACCTCTATCAGAGATTTGATATTTGCCATTTAAAATGCAAAATAATATGCAATTCTCTCTGTGCACCTAATGTCTCAAATAATTATAAAAACTTATTTAAATCATTGCAAGCTTAGCGTTATTTGTTTCAAACATGAGTTTATTATTCGGCAACATATGTCAAAAATAAGATATATTACTTATACTTATCAAAGATGTTTATTAGTCAAGGCATAAATTGTTGTAAGTATAATTAATATGACCCTTGACCAATAAACATCTCTGATTAATTATATTTGTTTTCAACTAATGATTTTATGTTGCTACATGATTCCAGGTAAATTAGCTTCATAATTTAAATCAGTTAGAATTTATCTCAATTTTTTAGGATCTATATCCTATGCCTTCATGTCTTAAATTGTCTTTCTGTTTAATTATTGCGTAAAAATAAAATTCCGATTCATTAAGTGTGAAGTTTCTTTCGTTAACAAGAGTTTCTCAGCGCTTAAATTTAGTAACATCAGTAATAATAACTTTTAATGGAATTAAAATTTCTAGTTATTCGTATCAAAAACATTCTAAAAATAAAAATCTCGGTTCTTCACATTCTAATGAAAGCAAGGTATTTTCCAGATTTATAAACGATGAGAATTAAATATAAAAATTTCAATTTTTATTTATAAGCCTATCAAATGGATATTTAAGAAGGCATCCTTAAATTTAGAGAGGACGAAAGTATCCCTACTGCAATGACGTCACGAACTGCGCGCTGTGGCCTTGAGTTACGTTCTAGGGGATGTTGGTTGAGCTCCGGGAACAACTGAACCGAGTCGAGAGCTCCGACTCCTAGAACCGAGTCGAGACTCTTATGTATTGTTGAGTGCGTCGCGAGTTGTAGCGTGGAGAGTCTCGAGAGTACGTAGTCCGAGAACGACTGAGCAGAGTCGGAAGGTGAACTCTTGTCCTTTATCGTGAAGCTGTCTTCACCTTTATAGCCTGATAGTCTGAAGGCTGTGTCGCTGATTGTTTCAGCGTGTTTATAATAGTTCTTCAAAGACTGTAAACGTGATTGTGGATCTGTCTTTTAATACTGGCTAATAAAAAGTGTTTTGATACTTCATCAAGTGTCGTCGTTATTCACTCCAAATCCACGAACCCGTACGTACATAAGAAGAAGAAAAATATGTTACAATATGTTACCATCAAAACGAAAATTCTTACCTGAGCTGCCTCCGACGGTTCTTCTAAGGTCGTAAGGATTTTTAGTTCGACCAAAAGCTAGGTTAGCAGTCTCCCACCACATACATAATTCCGGAACATTTGTCACTACGACCGGTATAGCTCCGGCTTTCTTATACAAAGCGGCTGTATCTGAGTCTGTTTCTGCTGTCCTGTCTTTATGCCGAACTTGGCCGCAAGCCTGAATGAGACCTAAGAATAAAGGTGGGTTTAAATTATCATTTGTCTCATCATGCACTTACATAGGCAATATTTACATACATTAGGAGAGAATATTGCACAAGAACAATACAAAAGAACGAATAATATTTTGAATTGCCAGGAAGTAACCTCCTGTCTTTAATCTGTTGCAAGTAGCGAGTGTCAGAATTAGCAGTGGGACGTCCGTGAAAAATATTTAATTCTTTCTTTGCGTAAAAGATGTCGAAGTGTCACCTTAAAATAATACTAATTGTTACAAAGATAGAATATCAGTTTGGTATCCACGCTCTTCTTGTGATCATGGTTGATGACTTTGAATGGAAACTATACTACTTTACAATGTTTAATGATGTACAATACTTCCTGTACTCCTTACAAGGAAGTAAAAAAACTGTTAACAGTTTTGGAAGTGATAGTTTTGATAGTTTATATTGTTAAATCGGCATATAATGTGCTATTCTTTATAAACCAAGAAGCGTTGGCATTAGACTTTATATTTTATGGAGATTTGTTTTTTCAGCATATGTCGATAAGGAGAAGATGTAAAGTAAGACTGAGCGGATTATTGTTTTATATATCATTTAATTTTGAAGAGAAAGACTTCTATATCCTCCAGGAAGAGTCTTAAGTTAGCTATGGAAATATTAAATTTATGTGTGAATAAGGAAACATTTAACTTGTAGAGTCATTAGATTTTTGATGCTGGAGACGTGAAAAATGAGCAGTGTCCTGGCCGGGATTCGAACCTGGACCTCTCGAATACGCACCGAGTGTTCTACCGTTGCACCACGAAGACATGCTGGAATGAGGAAGAAAAAATCTTATATGATCTCCTTTTCAAGGGAGACTGGGGATTAGAAGACCCAGTCGCCAGAACCTGGAGGTGAGGAATTATTGTGCACCCCCTTTTTTAGTTCATGCGCCATTGCACAGTTGTTAGGTTTTTTTTTTAATACTGAAGACGTGAAAATGAGCAATATCCTCGAATTTGGATCTTTTCAATGCACGCTGAGTGTGCTACCGTTACACTACGAAGGCATGCTGGAAGGAGGGAGAAAATGTCTTATAAACTAATCGTCTGCTAATAAACGGCCATACTATGTACTTTTTAAAGAATATACGTCTGAAACTGGAAATGATAAGAGTTCAGAATTCTGTGTTTATATTTTTGTGTGTTGAATGGAAGTTAAGTTCTTTCTAAGCTAATTTATTATATAAAATTAGTATATTAATTCTAGTAAACGGCTACCATACATATATCCATGTTTAGCAAATTTGATAGATATATAATATGTCTAAAGTGGAAATTAAAATTCTAGCTATTTAAAATTTTCAAACGCATGTGCCCCCAATTAGTGAATTTTAAACTGAATTCAGAACCAGAAATATTTGTTTCGCTATTGCTATTTTCTTAGGGTACTTAGCTACTATCTCAGGTATCAAGAAGAACAACGATCAGATGATTTTTATAAATTCAGAAATAATGTTTCGAAGTTTTTAAAGAGACGGCTAAATAAAATAATTGATCAAATAGTGTAAATTATTAGACATTTCAGAACGAGAAATAAAAAAATCAACTTTCGACTTGAAATAACGAAGTTTCCACTTTGTTAGCTTGATGCGACAAAATCTCTTTACTTCATTCGTGGCTTTTTATTACAAGAACTGCTTTTGTTATCTTTTAAAACATTTGAAAATTTTATTTTTAATATTTAAACTACGTTACGAAAACGTTATTATGTGCTTTTTAATTGTATTTTAATTTTGTATGACATTCATCTATGAGGCACTTTGAGTCGGGTCTTTTTTTTAACATCCTGAAATTTATGCATTGTTATATCTTACGTTATATATTCTGTAATATGTCTGAAAATATTTGTTGATCATATGTGTTTTAAAACATTATTATTAGCTAGATATTCGGCTTATACACGAATTTTAAAATTTGCAACAAAACCTTTTCTTTCGTCTTACACATGAACTCGCTTATATTTGGAAATATACAGTACTTGATTTTAGTATTGCAACTTCCCGAGCTAATTTGAATTATACTAAAGTCTTGAGCAGATCCTTGAGTCATAAAAGTTATTTAATATCGTAATTCTACGAGGCAATGAAAACGAATAAAACCTTTTAATTTAAATTTTCTTCAGAATTAATTTCTAGTTAGTAGCAACATTCATTTAAACTTTATTTCTATTTTTTCTGCAAATATTATATTATCCCTTCAGAAAACTTGTCATTGAGTTAAACATCTAATTAATTATATTTTTAATTTTCATTCTAAATAACTAAAAATTCCGTTTTAACCAAATTCACTTCTACAAATTTCTTTTATACTTTTCCTTTGTTTAGACAATAATCTCAATGCATAATTTGAAGCCAACATGAGAATATTTGTATCCTATAAACATTCACATGCGACTTACAATTAACAAAAACCAAGTACCATATGTAAAATCGCTCCATTTGTCGATATAGGATGATAAAATATGTGCAATAAACCTTTCGTTTGCAAAGGAATTACTCATCATCTTACCTTTCACACCGATGGCTTCTTTGCAACTGAAAGGCACACCTAGCAAAGGAGTGTCTCGTGCGATGTCTTTCTCAGATTTCTGTCCACTGGCCAAAAAGCGGTCCACTTCAATAGCGTCGTTGAGGGCGTCCACGTATCGCTCGTCGACGACGGCGTTGATGATCGGTTGAACTAACTTGATCCGCATAATATAAGCTTTCATCACCTCTTGGCAAGTCAGCTAGAAAATAATAAACGAAAAGTCAAACGTAAGAAGAAAGAAATGATCTCGGTGAGCGAATGTAATGTAATCCATTGAATATATGAAATAAACACACTGCAGACACATTTCTTAGGACTTGCTTGACTTTTTTTATCTTTCTCACTTTCATGGCAGTTCACCCATTTCAAACTGCAGAAAGGAATTATTTAGAATTATACATACGCTCTGCACTATATATATTTAGCATGCCATTATTGTAGAATAGAAAATACTTTCCAAATACCCTTTTCTGCAAGTAAGAGTTTTTACTGAAACTGAAAGCATCATATTTATTAATTTAGTAATCCTCATAGTAGAACTTAACACTGTTCTTCGAGACTATCTTTAGATTTGCAGTGATTGAATTAGCAGCAGGCACCTGAAAATAACTTGGCTTTCATGAGGAGCAGTCAGATCCGATGCCATACATTGTCAAAAGTCTTGCCGTACAATTAGAAGAAAGGAGAACTCAAAGACTTTACACAACGATCATAAGCCATACGCTATTAAGAAGGCTTTTAATTCAGTGCAGTAGCTTGATGCACTGGTAAAGTTAACTGTCATTTTACTAAAGAATAGCAATAAAAATTTGACCAGCAGTGCGACATTATGGAAACAAGCCGCATTTGTCCATTCTGAGAAAATTCTCTACTCTGTCGTTCATTATCTCAGTAAATATAATATCTTAAGTATTCGCTAACGACTTCGCTTGCTGACCTTTGAATAACGAATGAATTGTGTAGAGACCTTGGGAATGACAATAAGCAGAAAATAAAAAATGTTTAACATGCGAATTCAATTTATAACAAAAATGGCAAAAACAGTGAAGTTCGGCCTGCCTTAAAAGTCCTAGAAGTCGTTAACAGTATTTAAACTACTCAACCAAAATATCACAATTTCACAAACTGCAATTTTCTAGTATCGTCACTAACGCCCCATTAGTCTCTGTCTTTTCCGCCTTAAAAACAAAACGTAATGTCACCAGGTATAAACAGCTTGTTGAAATGAAAAGAAAATATCAAAGTTCTTTTTTTCTTACTTCTGATGTCCTGCTATTACGTAATAGCCATTTTTGCGGTTACACATAGGCGTAGGAAGACGGGTGCGGCGTGCACCAAGTACCGGCTCTGAGGGGATGAAAAAAATTGCCGGTTTTGCACTAATCACCATTTTATTACATAGATTAACATGTCGAATAATTTACGTGGGCTTTTACAATCGCTAATTGCAGCCAATTGCGGGTGAACGATGTGATGCTGTAATGATTTAGCATTATTATGTGTTCTGCCTCATTTCTTTTGAATTGGTTTGGTGTTCAAGCAAATAAACAACCGGTTCTGGTGACTCATCGTCTCATTCCTGCCACAAAAATCATTCACCTTAAGTCGTTCTGTGCAGCAAGATGATGTTTTAATCTCGAGCATCCTAATAATATAGTCAGCGCAGAAGCATTTTAGACAGTAGGATGGGAAGATATTGTCCATTAGCTCGCAGAACCGACTAAAAGGTAAAACGTATGTCTATCACAATCTAGCACATTACTCGTGTCTACTTAAGAGCTACGTAGATACAACTGTTTTTGTTTACTTTAGGACCGTTCTACGAGCGAACGGACAATATTTTCGCATCCCACTGCTTAAAACGTTTCTGCGCCAACTATACCTCATTATGAGTAACATTTTGTCGTATTGCAACTTATTATTTAAAAATGAATCAGATTTACACTACTAAGAGTATCCATCTTTGAGTCGATGTAGAAGTTTTTATTCTATTATATGGTACTTCGCTTCGTTTATAAAATCATTCTTCTCTTTTCCTTCTACGATACTGATTTTGGTAAGTAGAGTTTTGAGTTTTTAAAATAAAATAAATCCACTATTATATTATTTTCTCACTAGATACTATAATGTACATAAAGTACTGTGGTCCTCTAAAAGTACTGTTATTTCCTAACCCTTTGGTGGTTTCCTGAGTTAAAAAAGTGTTTTTTACAAAATATCTATCTGTATTAGTGCGTGTATGTATGCCTGTACATAGTCCTAATTAATTAATTTGTTAAGTTTTAAGAACCAAACATTTTTTGCAAAATAAAATATAATGTAATACTGCTAACGTTTTTCAAAGCAAAATGGACTTTTTTCATATTTCAGATACACGATTATGAAGCGACAGCGTCCAAGTGCAGCACAGTAAAGAAAAAATAAAAGGCATAAGTTTTAGAAGTTCATCCGTTGACCAACTCGATGCTGAAATTTGTTAAACCTTCGACATTAACTTCAAGTGTGGAAGAAGACGTTGCAACATTATCTCAATCCGAGAATGAAGTTGGAATTAAAGAAAAATTTAATAGAAATCGTAAAAGTGAAGAACAGATTAGAGAAGACATTCAGGAAGAAACTAAGAAACTGAAGAGCTAAAAAATATTATAACTTCAAAGATAATCATAATGAAGAAGAAAATAAATTAGAAAAAAGCGCATCAGACAAAGAGGAAGAAGAAGGAGCATATTATGAAGTAAGTAATAGAAATACTTTTTTCTAACATCTCTGCTTGGCCTTTCTCTGTTATAGATAATCTAAGCGTTGACTTAATTCAAAGAGGAAGTGAAGTGCTTCAAAGCAAAGACAGACCGTTTGTTTCAGTTAATAAATAAGAGAATAAGAATAAGACGAAGGGTGCTAACCGACAGTTGATGTCTCATTGGTTCTATATCAGCGAAACAATTTCGGGACAAATCTGAGAACCTCGATGGCATGCTCAGTTAAAAATCAAAGCATTGTTTTTGTTGTAGGCTCTTTGGTACACATGCAAGTTTGAGTAATACATCAAAAATTGTAATTGGTTAACAAGTTTGATGAAAACTTAATCCTAACGTTCCCAGCCATGAAACCTCAGAAGAATATGAAGCTTGTTTTGAAAAATAGAATTGTCTAATTGCCAATAGAACAACTGAGCTAGTTAGTCGGACAGCTGCTGAAACATAAAAAAAAAAAAAAAAAAAAAAAAAAAAAAAAAAAAGAAATGGAGAGATTTTTGAAAACAATCTTCCATTCCGCGGCTACAGAGAGCATATGTTAGCAAAGAACAAAGGAAATTTTCCACAGCTGATTGGACTTCTATCAGAATATGATTCTCTCCTAAGAGAACGCTTAAGCAAGCTAGAACTGTCAATTCAGTCACAGTCGGTTCAGATATCAACCAGCTATTGGTCTCCCACCACACGAAATGAGTTTATCTCACTTTTGGGTGGAATGGTTAAGGATTTTGACATATTAAAAACACAAAGTATTTTAATATTATCTTTGACAATACACCCGACATCTCGCTCATAGATCACATGAATGAAATCATTCGTTAACACAGAGAACAAAAATGTTGAAATAAAAGAGTCATTTCTAGGAAGTTTTTTTCCGCTGACTGGGAAGAAAGCCGTTGACATAACGGAAGACATTTTAAAAGTTACTGACACGGTTGATCTGGATACAAAGTGCCAAGAACAAGGATATGTCTCTCTCTCAATCTCTTTTGCAACCGTTTCATTATGTGTGAATTTTCTTTGGACAGATTCAGTATTTTTAACAAACGAGACGTATGCATATATACGGTGCTCTACGATCCCCCTGCTCCATAGCTACAGACATAGCATACTGAAGCAAGGGTCATGATACCTGGTTATGCTCCCTATCGCACCTAGCGGTCCAATACTACCCATTTCAAAGGACCAAGGCATTTTGGTTACGGAGTGTAAATTAATTACAATTACATCCACCTCATCGTTAAGAAAAATTAATTAAATAAGAGTAAGAATTCCTTAAAGGGAAAGAAAAGGACACCGTTACGGACTGAAAAAGAAGCTAGTTAAGAGGTCCCCTAGGGATAAAAGTGATGACAGTCTACTGTTTACCTCATGAAAGGGCCAATTAATAACCGTAGTGAGACAAACAAGCTAGAAGTCGAAAATTCAGGAGAGGGAATAACAAGCAGCAAATAGTTACCACCCCCTCCAAAAAATCATACATCACAAAGCTGAAAGACATGTAGTACGTACACATACGTTGTATGTGAGTTAGAGAATTCTGTGGTGATGTCCCTTGGCGCTATTTATACTCGTATTTATATTTTCAACTCCTCATTATTCTAAATTTTGGAAGCTACAACCAGACTGTGAATATTTGTTAAATTAATGTTTACAAATAATTTTGAATTAGGCTTTTATAGAAATTGATGCACATCAGCATAACAATTAAGCAGTTGTCATGCAATGACCACTGAGCTGTATATATGTCTAACACAACACTGAATTTAATCGATGTAAACTTAAAAATGAATGTGCTTCTACTCTCGAGGAAAGAAGAACCATAACAGTATTAAAGCATTTTTACCTCCTTCTTTCGAATCTTCTCAGCGAGTTCTGTGGCTGGCATGAGAAGAATTTCATCTGTTATTGGTGGCAACTCTGAAGTGCATCCCATAAAGAAACGATATATGACATTAAGGATTTTATCCGAAACCGGACGAGTCAGAGTCAGGATGGCTCTAACAAATCCAGCGAGCACTCCAATCATCTAAAAAGAGAAAAGAAGAATTCAGATTAGACGTAAGGCTTAATGATCGAATAACAACATATTTCCACAATTCAGAGTTTGCAACAAGTAGTCATTGGGTATTCCAAATATAAATAGTAATCATATCATACTAAACAAGTATTAATAAGAGTTATATTTATAAATGAGCGTTCTAAAATTTAAGAAACATAATTATAAACTTCAGTTTATTCGCGTTTTACACTTCCCAAAACGATTAAGCTGAATTCTGGATTTGTAAAATTTAGTTGCTTAAGTATATGTGGAGGATTTTAAAATTGAAATATTCTGTATACGTGAGTAAGAAACCTTAAAGAATTTTCAGCAGAAAATTTCAAGGAAAAAATAAGGACTCCATCTCTAATCATTTTCCGTCTAAGGCTCAAGGAAAATATTAAATATTAGCTAGATGATATGTCAGAAATGTTAATTCATGGAGACTGTTGCAAAAGTATCCTTTTTTGTTGATAAATGCATTATAAAGGATTTATCCTCTGTTTAAGATTAATTGTTCATATGAACACATACGTACTTGTCTAATGACTACAAAATCAGTAGTAAATAATATACAGCTAGCTTGTGATGTAGTGGCTACATAAGTGTTATCTTAATAGGATATTCACAGACAAGGGAAAACAGCTGAGAAAGATTTGATCTATATATATATATATATATATATTGAATAAACTAATATTTTTTATGAACAGGGAGAGGTTAAAACCATATAGTAAAAAACTTCAATTTATTATACAGCACGTACGTAAGGATTAACAAAAGGCAATCAAGAATGCTGATAAAAAGACTAATAATAGTACAATTCTGTGAATTTAAAATTCAATTTATTTTCGCAGACGATAAAAGAGGTATGCTTTGACGGAGAGGCAACATTAAATGTTCTAAAAACTGATGTAAAAAAACTGTACGAATAGAAAAATGTTTAACGTTCTATTTTTATAGTTTCTAAAATTTAATATATTTTATTCCATTTAAGTTCTTAATACTAGTTTATGCCTTTATTTCATTTCATTGTTAGTAAAGATTCTTCTTCCATTCCATAATCTATGCTCAGATTTGTTGCATTTTCTCGCACTTTACTGAATTTATCTTAAAAACACTTCTTGAAATAATTAGATTCTTCAAAAAATAAACAAATCCGAGTAAAATTGTAAATATTTTCAAAATCTATTAGTTTAGTTTCGAAGAACTTAATTTTTGTTTCAAGAAATTTTATGAAGTTAAATTCATTTAAAGTGCGGGAAGTTGAAAAAGATTTCAGCATGGATTATGGAATGGAAGAAGAATCTTTACCATTAATGAAATGAAATAAATGCGTAACTTATACAAAGAACTTAAAAATGGATTTAATAAAATATATTAAATAATACAAAAAGTAAATGAATGAGTTTAAATTTATAAAATATTACTAAAAAATTGAAATGAATTAAAAGGTTTCAAAACTAAATGTAAAAATCTAAGACAAAAATAAAAATTAATCGTGGGAAAAAAAGCAAGGATGTCAAAAAATGTAACAGCATTAATTCATAATTGTTCTTGGTGTAGTGAAATTGTCAATTTCCATCCGAGTGTTTTAGAATTTCTTTTCATTTTAGATCTCATTTCACATTTACGTATAACTGATTTCAATATAGAATACATAGAAAGATTTAAGATATACAGTATATAATTATATGGGTATTAATCAGAAACTAGATTATCAGTTACATTTGTTTGATTCGATAACTTTAGATTCTCTTAATAATACCTTCTTATATTTAGCTTAGAGACATATTTCGTGTGCTTTATTAAATCAGGTAAGCCGTTTGTTTTAGGGACGTTATTACGATTTAGAAAGCTATTGCTTTTTTACTTCCTTGTATGGAGTTAAGGAAGCATTGCAATAGCAAAAAAATTTTCGAGTGTCATATTTCAACGGAAATATCCATTTTGACTATTGTTTTTGCATGGAAGGGCAGAATGAAGACCTCTTTACAAAAAGGATTGTAAAATGTACTCAAAATGGATTTTTTTCGGGACGTCTGTAGGTATTTATGTATCTTTCGTAACACAAAAACAATTAGCCTTATAACGTTAAAATTTTGTATATGGGGCTGCTATAACATCTAGCTTGATTCAAGTAAATGCTAAAAGATGAGCTTTGCTTACTGATGAACCAAGCACTACGATCTCCAAACAATTAAGTTCTTTAGTTTCATAAAAACTGAGAAGTTCTTGACCATATATTCACTAAATATTTTTTTATTTATTGTAATAGTGATTAATTAAAACAATGCTAGGCTTGCGTATTTCAGAAAGATGAAAAGCTATGAATTTCACTGTTAAGAGTTTTAAAGTTTGGAAAAAACTGGGAAATAAAGAGATTTAACATATCAGAGGAAACGTTTTCTTAGTGATATTAATAAGAGAATGTAATTGAGAATAACGAATTATAACCTGATTGAAGAATAATCTCATTTTGAAATTATTACAGATATATTTATATCTGAATTAAAGAAGTGAAATAAGAAAACTAATAAATATAAATTGCAAAAGAAAATTAATTAATTATGTATTGTTCATTAAAATAAGCATTGATAAAAGCAAGTTGTAAAATAAATTTAATTAAAATAAGTATAATTTAAAGTAAGTCGTATTAATCAAAGTAAGCATTAATAAAAGTGAACTGTAAAAAAAAAAAAAAAAAAAAAAATAGCGCAGGTAAAACAACTTACTTGATGAATCATTTTCTAACCTTTGAGGGCCAAAATGGCTCCTTTTCAACTGGCAGCTGGAAGAGAAGTCCACTGAGCACGTGTCGCCGAACCTACAACCGAATGATGAGCTCAAAAGAGAGAAACAATCCTATAAAAAGGCATAAATAGGTAAATCTCGTGATAGAGGAACATTCACCCTATCAGTCACTCTCCATAACCTTTAATCTACCCCGGATACCGTTGCACCCGCACTTTGCTATCTGTTAGAGGATGATCGAGTTAGTTTTATCACTTACACGCGTTTAATCACAATGACAATCGCATAATGGAAACTGCAAAGATACTGTAAAGTGTCAGTTTTAATGATACCATTTTGACGGTGGCAGAAACAATAATGGTGTGACGGTATGTTAATGATAATAATCACATAGTAGCCTTGGGCTTGAGATGAGGAATTTTCTGTAGATTAATTGTTCCGTTTAAATTTTGGAATACCGGAAAATATTTTAAAATTCGCACAAGGCACTGAATTGGATTAAGTAAGGCAGCCTCGGTCTGCTATGATTTTGACCACGCAATATTTTTAACAAAAGTTTAAGGAATTTAAATTTTAATACATTTCCTTTAAGAAGGAATTTCCAGTAAATAAATTATTCCTTCAACTATTAAAATATTTCGAATAAATGGGGTTCGTAACATGTGAAGATTCGTCCGCCAAAAGAAGGATTTGTCAATATATGACTCAAGTTATCTTCAGAATGCTACAAAAATGAGATTTGGGGGCCAGACAAAATTAAATTTCATCAAATACAGAATTTTTTATTATTATTTTTTTAATTTTAGAAGAAGTAATTTTAAATTAAGGTTTCTAAACTACTGTCTTTCTAACGAGAAAAATATCTTTCTTAAAATTTTAACACTTAAAAAACTAACAATGAATTCTATGGCAGCGATTATGTACCGGGAGTACGCGCGCGTACCGCTGGTGGTACGCAACAGAAAAATAGGTAGTACGCAAAGAAACAAAGTACAATATAACTCCAATAATCCGAACTCCGACTATCCGAATCGCTTTCAGAATTTTTTAGAATGAACTGAAAAAGAGAAGGAAAAGGAGGAAAAGCAAAAAGAAGCTCAAGAAAAGAAAAAGGAAGAGACAGGAGAAGATCAGGATGGCGTGTCACTTAAGGAATTAAGAAGCATTCTTTTGAAAATTCCTGGATGTTCAGAAGTTTGTACTGAGTATACAGGTGACAGGTGACGGAGGACGGTGACGCCTGGTGTTTAACAGAGGTAAACAGGCATATGTCCCGCGTCCTCCACTATCCAGAGGCAACAACTCCCTGGATAGCGGAGGAGTATACAGACTGGTACTGAGTATATAGGACAGGACAGGACTAAGTGTGGGAAGCACCAACACATCGCCATTGGCAAAACTGGTGTCGCTCCTTCACACTAACCGTCTTGAGAAGAACACCTCCACAGGGCGTACTTACGCCACGCATCGGTGTTAATTGAAACGTTATCATTAAGGCATAGAGAACTTGTGGGGCGAAGATACAGGTGAGGCAGCATTACAATACATACTTACAGTTATGGAAATTACTATAATCGTATATGTACAAACAATAGCAAATAGAACTGAATGGAGAAACATTAAACACAATTAACTTGGTTTATCAGGTTCAATGTTCCTTCTAACCTTCTTCGGGAACATGCAAGGACCTGACTCGGAACAGAGAGCTTACTAAAGCTATGTTCAAAACTGTGGGATACACAAGAAGGGTATACAAAACCCTTTATTTTTCTCTATTTACAATGACTTCCGTACTTCGGAATACACCGACCCGCTACTTGGGGTCTAACGTAAAAGTATAAAAATAAAACTAAACTCTAATTTAACTTTAAAATAATAAACGTGGAAGATTGGCCTTATATTAACAGGAAGCGTATGTAGTACAGAGAACTGTGAACACTACAATACGTTTAAAATTTATCAAGAGGATTAAAACCTCTGGCCTGGAAGGCAACCAGCAACTGCGTAACTTCTAAGGTAAGCGGCCTGCTTCGACTCACTGCTTCCTCTCTCTCTCGCTTGGCAAAAAGCCACAACTTAAATACTTGGCGTTCGCCAGACAAACTTTGCATAAAAACCTTAACGCTTATAATTCTGGCCGGAAGTAGAAAATAAGAAGTGATAGTAAAGATTTAAAATAAAATAAACTTTAGTAAAACTTAAGATCCTTACAGGTTAAGTTATTGTGATATTAGTGGGATGTTTTTGGGACAGTGTAGCAGTTCATAGATGGTTCACAGTTCATTGGCAGTTCATGAAAAGTTCATGGATTGAGTCAGAGTTCATACATACAGTAGAGTTCACCAGTTCCAGTTATGCGATTTTTGATGTGCATAACTGTGGTCGTATTGTCTAGGTGCTAAATCCTTGCTACACTAAGATAATCTATTGCAATGACTAGAAAGGCATCCCCATTGGAAAACTGGCGCTTGTGCCAGAAAATAAGAAGCACTTATAACAGTTATGGTGCACACAGTTACAAGCCGTGACGATGGAGTGTGTCAATTATATTTTTGATACTATTGTGGATTTTCCGGTGCTTTATCAGGAAACGTTTGAAGTCTGTTCCTGATGCTGTGGGATGGCGGATATGATGGTCTGCTGTTTACAGGACAGGGACAGGGACGGGAAAAAGTGGACGGAGCACCAGAACTTCGTCAGTGACTTTTACAGGTGTTGCTCCGCCGCACTACTGTACCCCGCTGTGCTTTTAGTTGGCCCGCATCGGATGCTAGCCTACCAAGACATTTACATAGTAATTTTACATTAATACTAGACTTACGTACTGAATATACAATTACAAAGACACAGTATACAATTATTACAAAGAAATTGACCTATTAACAAAAGTTGGAAGATGGCAGATTAATATAACATAATTACTTCGAACATACATACAAACTTACATTGTACATTGTACTTCATACAAACAATATATTTACATTAGTATATCTAGTTATATCGAATTACAATAAACATCTTTTTAAGGAACTAATTGGGGAAGAATTTTTTTGGGGGGCATCTTATTATACTTAGTTGAATTACTAAGGCGAATTATCTTATTAATACATTTCCTTTCATTTTTTAACTTGTTACACACAACTGCATCAACACTGAAGTCTTAGATTATTATTTTTGTAAATTAATGTATCATAAACACAGAAAATATACATTAGAAAATCACATAATACTTACATTTACACTAATATATCTAATAGAGTCGGATATTATTTTTTAATTAATTATTTAATTATTACAAGATTTTTCCCCCCTCATCTCCTAATACAGTCCAAATTCTTAATGTAATTATTTTGTAAAAACTATTCATATCATATTTAGCCTGTTTCAGACATTTGCAATATTTCTGAAGGTCTGCTCCTGCTGTTTACATGTGACAGGTGACGGAAGACGGGGACGCCTGGTGTTTAACAGTGGTAAACAGGCATATATCCCACGCTTCCCTGTGAACGCAGCAAGTGACGGAAGACGGGGACGCCTGGTGTTTAACAGTGGTAAACAGGCATATATCCCACGCCTTCCCCTGTGTAGAAGCAGCAATTTTATTTAAATTAATAAACGTATTTACAGTGCAACAAGGGCAGATGAGCTATTGTGTTGCATTGCAGTTCAGGATACATTAGCATGTCATAAATAGTCAAGTGCAAGACATAAAGAGAAAGGGTCTTAAATTTTTAAAAAAAAACGAAAACAACACACTAATCACATAAACATAAGGCGTAATTAGATACCCTTCACTCAATACATAAACTTGAGCATATTGCAAATGCATGATAGTGTTGTATATTGGGAATACTGAGGTATCTAGAGCTTCTATACTTAACTACAGGGTGTACAGACAGTGAACAAAAGCTTAGTAAAAGCATGATACTTGATAAAATACAGGACAAAATACATGCAATGCATTGATACAATACATGAAACACGGAATACATTGATAAAATACAAGAGACATGAAATACATTGATAAAATACATGAAACATGATGCAACTTTAGAATAGTAGTACACAACACTAAAAATGTGATATACAGAGCGGAATACGTATACACAAAGGTATTAACAGAATACAAAACAGAAGATAGTGCATTAAAGATTTAAGTACAATGGATATATACATAATGCGCAGATGCTATTGCAAAGATAATTTGAGTATTATAGAATTTGCGCAGTTCGTATAAATTACAGGAACAAATGTTATAATGAATGCAGATACATTGTTTTACATGTGCAAGTGCTAATACTTGAAGGAAGAATGCGCTGAGACACTGATGGACGCTGATAGAACTGAGACACTGAGGGATTGGTGCACTACTGGGTACTGATGGTAAAATACATTTATTGGTGTATTAATGACGAACTGAGAGGCGATTGGCGGATTCAGTGAGGAGAGCAGATGTCCTGACCCATCGCCCTAGTGATGCTGACAATTTGACAAATTTTGGATATTGCAGGCTTATGTGTAATAATAAATCTATTAAAAGCTTCTATATTGGAGGTTTGGCTGGGGAGATGATGAGCAGTTGTCAATTCACATTCATAGAGGTAGTGATCCGGGGTGCCGTGACCTCCGCAGACGCATTGGTCAGTTAGAGATATGTTGCGTTGGAAGAAGTAGCTGGGAAATGGGCCATGACCTGTTATGAATTGTGTAAGGGGTGCAATGGCGAAGTGCCTTTCTGTGCTGACTTTGGGTATAAAGTCAAAGGTGCGTCTTCCTGTGGGGCTGAGGTTCCACTCTCTCTGCCATAGCTGAAGACTCTATTTTCTTAGAATACTTTTCAGATGTGAGGGTGGTGCTGGAAGGCTGTTGAATTGGGCGTCTGAGTCTGTGACCGCTTGCTTGGCTAAGCGATCCGCAGCCTCATTGCCCTCGTTGTCCGCGTGGGCCTTTATCCATTTCAGTAGCAAGTTAATGTGTGCATGCCGTTGTAGAAGATGCTGTAGCGAGATAATTAGATGTGAAGTGTGCTGATGGTTTAGTAGTGTCTGCAGTGTTGAGAAGCTGTCCGTGTGGAGGGTTGCATGCGTGATGTCTTGATGGATGATGTGTTGAGTTGCTGCCGTGATAGCAAGAACC